ACACTTAATGAATTTTTTCGAATTACATTTTTATCTTAAAATAAAAATACCAAAATACCCTTTATCTTACACATCTAGGAGCCTAATTCCCAAACCACCAAAAAATTTCTAACCCTAATCAGTCGTCGCACCATCGCCGGCCTCCTCTTTTGACCACCTCAACCATTCTCCATCATCTTCGTCACCCCGTGATAGCCCATCCCGACAGCCCCTACCATTGCGACCTCCACCATCTTCACTATCACGATCGCGCCTTCCATCACCGATACCATCATCGGTCTCACCCCGACATTCTCTCTTCTTCTTCTTCTTAGTCATGTCTCTCTCACTCTTTTCTTCTACAACTCGCATCTCTTTCTCTCTCTCTCTTCTTCTTCTTTTGCAACTCGAGGAAGAATGACGTCAACTAGGGAGGAAGAACGGCGCACTAGGATTTTTAGAGAAGAAAATAATAATAATAATAATAATAATAATAATAATAATAATAATAACGAAAATATTTGGGACCCCCTTTGGGGATGACCCCCACATCCCCAAAGTGATCCAGGTCCTCCATATATATATAGGGCCCACTCATGTATGTGTGGGATCCACATCATGAGTGGTTCAGATTTATGGGGGTCTTGTGGGGGTGGGGGTTTCAATCATTACTCTAATAATAATAATAATAAGTAGAAGAGGTGGTGATGTCAATAGTGGAAGGAGAAAGGAGGTGGAAAACGATTTGGTAGTGAGGCTGGCAGTTGTGAGGTAAGTAGAGTGAGAAGGAGAAGGATAAGGAGATGACGATGACGAGCTACGGCGGCAACTAGGGTGCAGGTGGCGACAGTGGCTAGTTAAGGTTAGAGATTAGGGTTTAGGGTTGTTTGGGATGATCTAAATAAGTGCACTTTTTGACTTGCATTAAATAATATGTTGAGTTTGAAGTGAATATTAGAGAGGTGATGTGGCTTAAATAAAGATGATGTGATAATATAGGATATTTTTTTTTTTAGAGATGCAAAACCTAAGCCTTAGTGTTAAAAGATGAAGAAAAGATATATTTGATATAATGAATTGTGTTACTAAATTATATATATATATATATATATATTTAAATTATTAATATATGAATTGAAATATATATCTACAATAGAAGTATTGTAATAAAATTTCTCAAATGCTTTTTGTCTTGTCTGAAATTTTGAGGCAGTTTATTATAAGAAAAATGAGTTCTAGTGGGTGTGGGTCATCTCTGATTGGCTGAATTTTTTTTTTTTTTTTTTCTTATTTGAACACGTGACAGTTCAACTTCACTGAAGTGCTGGGGTCGCTCCGACTGGTCCCCAGCATTGCCCTATTTATAATTTTACAAAAACTAACCAATAAGGCCAAGTTTGCATCCTCCAAAAAATTCAAAAAAGTCAAAAAGTCACTATCCTATTTAAGTCACATCATCTTATTTAAGTCACATCACCTCTCTAACACATCACTTCAAACGCCAACCCAAAATCCAACCCATATTTCATAAAAAAGTAAAAAAGTTACCTTTTTATTATTTTCCCATAAAACTTGGCCTAAAAAATCAACAAAATATATAATATTATATATCTATATAATAAGGGAGAAGATTTTTGAAAATGTATAAAATGTATTTGAGATATATTTTGATCTAATGGTTTAAATTGTCCCATCTAAATTTCAATGGTCAGGATGTATTCGTTTCCCGCCCCAAATGCTCTTTGAGCATCACGGCATCAAAATCTAATGGTCAGAAAATCTCTCTCTCTCCTCTCCATCCCTACTGTACTCCTCCTCTCTCTCTCTCATTTCAATTTTTGAACTTCTCTCTCTCTCTCTCTACTCCATCGGAGCCCATCCGTGCGAGACCACCGACCATCGCGACCCGACGACCCCGACCACCTCTCCTCTATGTGTCATCCTCTCTCGACGACATCACCGACCACCTCCTCTCCTCTCACCCTCCTCTTTCGTCTCTCTCCCCTTGCAAGGTAAACTAGAACTTCCAACTTCAATTCATGATATTTTTTGCTGAATCTGATTTTGTAGGGTTTGCAATCATAAATTTTTTTTGAATCGAATTTTTTGTGGGTTTGTAAAGTTAAATCTAGATATTTTTGACATGTGGTGTTTGTGTTGGATTGATTTTGAAATGAGTTTGAATAGATTTTGAATACACTCTGTTTCATAGATATAGATTTTGACATGGGTGTTTGAATAGATTTTGATTTTGAAATGAGTTTGAATAGATAAACGTTGGTATATGTAAACCCAAAATCTGTTTCATAGATTTTGAAACATTCTTAACCGTTGAATAGATTTGAAACATTCTTAACCGTTGAATAGATTTTGAATCTTTTCATAGATATGTAAACCAAAATCTATGAACCCAAATCTAGTTAACCCAAAATCTAATTAACCGTTGGATACACTCTGTTTCATAGAAACCAGTTCATACACTCTATATATAACCCAGTTGAATATATAAACCCAGATTTTGAATATAAACCCAGTTTATACACTCTGTTTTCATAGATTTTGATCTGGATATTATTATAAAACATTTTGGGTTTGAAATGGTTTCACTTGATAGATGTATAGCCATGTTATAAAATTGATATCTTCATTCCATTCTCATAGTCCAGTGTATAAAGTTTGGCTGAAATAGATGTAAAGTCCAGTGTATAAAATTGATGAAGGTTGAAGATGTTCGTAGTAAATGTTTAAGACCCTATAAATATGGTAAAAAATGATTGAAATCTATCACATTCTTAACCTAACTCCCTGAAAGAAGTTCATGAAATTACCGTTTGATGATCTCAATGTGTGCAATATGAGATGATAGTATTGGTCTTATTGATGCTGACTTTAGCTTATTTTGGAACCGATTTTTTTTTTTAATTTATTATGAAAAATATAAAAAAAATAAAAATATAATATGATTTAAATAAGTCAATAAATTTATAAGTTGGATTTTTTTCATCTTTTCAAAAGAGACTAAAGTATCAGAGATTTTTGATACCAACATTTGATATAATGTTTTCAGATCAATAAAAAATAATTATTTAAATGGGATGATCGATGATGAATCTTATCTAAGTAACTTGATGTCTTTGATGATCCATTCAATTTTATTTTAATTTTTTTATTTATGCAATTTACGTTAATTGAATGATTGAATTTCATTTCAGATTGTCTTCAATGTTTCAATTGCTGAATTTTCATTCTTCCTTGAAAATCTTTCATTCATTCTCTTCTTCTTCTTCTTTTATTTATTTTGGGAATGTGTGAATTGCAGTATTGAGTATTGATTTGATAAGAAAAATTTGTTTTTTGCAATGTATTATGTTGGTACTTTACAAAATTCATTTCAAAGTCAATAAATTTGATAAATTACATTTTAAATCAATACTTTTAAATTTAATTATATTTTAATCTTATAATTAATTTAGACACGGTATACATTTTTAAACCTCCAAATCAACCTGGGGACTTGCTTGGTTAGAATCTATTAGCAGAGATAATCAGTAGTTTGAAGGTGTTAAATCTGAAGTGTTAGAATCTTTATACAGAAGTTGAACTTTTTGAGCACTTTCAAGTTGTGTAAGTCTTAAAGACTCTGGAAATTGGTCATCAAACGAAGACCATGCGGGCGGAATGATTGGTTGGACGAAAAAAGCAAGCAGAAAAAGCGATAGAGAGTGATCTAAAAAAATAATAATAAAAAAATAAATAAAAAAAAGAAAAAAAAGAAAGAGCTTTGGTGACCCACCATCAACATGGAAATTAGAAAATTCGACGACTTTTGAGAAATCAAAATATTGTATTTATTATTATTTTTATTTTTAAAATCTTAATTTATTCAACCAGGAAGAGGTTAGAAAATTCCACGACTGTTGAGAAATCAAAATATTGTATTTATTATTATTTTTATTTTTAAAATCTTAATTTATTTTGCTTTTATTGTTTGTTGGACAAACTACTAAATTGAAATTCTTAAAGAACATAATAATTATTTATTTGGTAGTATTATATATACCAATGGATATAAATAATAGAATAATTATTTGTTTGCCGGCTGTGGGAGTATTTCGGTGCTTCTTTGTGACTTGCATCAACGGAGTTTTAGATTATTTTGTTGTTATTTTATTTGAGTTTTATAAAACTTAAGATACAAGTAAAATTGTTACAATTTTTTAAAAATAATAGTATTTCTTTATATTTTTTCAATATTTTTTGTCAAAAAAATTACAGACTTCATAATAAATTTTAATATGATACGTATGAATTACAACTGTATGTTGATCACAAAATTATTTATATCGTGCCTTCAGGCACGGGCATACGCTAGAACATAAAATTTTATGAATTACAACTCTCTAATTTCTGTTATTTGTAATTTTTATTTTTGTTCAAATTTTATGTTGTAGATAGAACATAAAATAAGATAGAACTATTTTATCAAATCAGTTGGGTAGTGGATTGTTGAATAATGGATTGTTGGTGTTTGTTGCTGGAGATAGAACTGCTTTGCTGAACAGTGGTTTGTTGCTAGAGATAGAACTGCTCTGAATAGTGGTTGAATAATGGTTTTTTGGTTTTTAGTACACATTTTTTTGAGATTTTAAAAATTATTTATGATGGCCTCTTATAGAGTTTCGTTTTAAAATAAAATGGATTTTATTAATCTTATTTGAAGGTATGAATTTATCATGGTGAATTTGAGGTATAATGCCTTCAAAATCTGTCACCATTAAAGAATTTGTTACTTTCCAACATTATTCTATTAGTATAATATGCCCTTTTATCACATCTTCCCCATCTTTTTAGTTTACCCTACTATGGTGGCTTAATTTTCGTCTTCACAGCCTTACCCCACCATCAAATACTAATTCTCAAACACATTATACAATCAAATATGATGTACCCTACTATGATGTTTACAAGCTTAATAGTCATTTTGGAGGGTTTGAACATTGTGTAGACAGCATAATCAGTTATTTGTTAAAAACGGACATTCTGCTGGAGTTAGTGCAACATGTTATGTGCACATCCTTTTTGATATCTTAATTTTTATGTGATTATCCTAGGTTTGCTTGCTTATGGTTGCATCCATTTGAATGGACAAGTAACTTATTGGAAAATAAAAAGAAAAGAAATAGATTCAAGGCATTTTGTCTTCTGCAGGTTGGTAATAATTTGTTATTTGTCTTCTGCAGGTTAAGATTGCAATGATTGGAATCATGGCTGGTGGTGAAGGACTTGATTTTTCATCAGCTGCCTCAGAACCCATCTCATATGTCTCAGGTGTAATTAATTTGCATATCCTTGAGCATTACTGAATCTTCTCTTTAATCATCAAGAAATTGGTGGATGGTTAAAATTGTCTGTTACTGGTTTAAATTCAGTTATGAACTAATGATTTTCTATTAAGTGGTTTAGGTTAAAGTCTTCTCATTTCTAAATCTTTACCTTACTCTTTATGTATGATGAAGTTATCTTAGCTGGACCATTCAGTGGTCCTGCTTACAAATTTAAGCTGTTCTTGATATCGCTGCAATTTTTATTGTTACTCTTTTAATATTCTTTCAATTCGCAGCCCTCTGCTTTGAATTGCGATTTCAGATTTTGCCTTAAAAGGCTTGCGAAGAAAGCAGAAAAATATTTTAGGTGAGATTCTCATTTCTGTTTATCTCAATCCCTCTTTGTTCCTCTTCTTTATCTCTCCCTTCTCTCCGACTGGCTTCAATTCGCAACCCTTTGATTTGAAATTTTTGAATCATTTTTTTCATGGAAATCTTATAAGCCTCCTCGAGTTCTTGAGTAGTTAACATAGTTGTTTATTCTGAAATCTATGCTTTCCAGATTTATTCTGAAATCTATTCTGAATGAGTTTATGTCGTTCATTCTATTTATTTCTTTTGTGTAGTCTAAGTTTGGTTGCTGAGAAATTTGGAAGAAAAAGGGGAAAAAGACTCTATCATTTAGAATTAGAAGTCACACCCATTAAGTGTTTGTTTGAATGGGTCTGAGAGTTTCTTCCATTTTTTAACTGAATCGACAATTGGGTTTTCTTGAGCTATCCATTTCATGGGTTTGTGCTGCTGGGTTTTCTGGTTCGGGTTCAAGATGGTATTACCATTGAAAATACTGAATTTATACACAAAAAAAAAAAAAAAGCTTAAAAAAGTGAGATGAGAAAAAATCCCAAACTGTTTAAGAACATTGAATTATTGAAGAACATTGAATTTTTTAAACACACCAAAAATTTAAGAACACAGTTTTTAAACACACAAAATGAAGACACAGAAAATTTAAGAACATTGATTTTGTTTTTTTTAAACACACACACAAATTTTATGAACACTGATTGTATTAACAAATAAATCAAACTAATAAACATTTCAATTTCCTATTTCAGTTCCAAGCTTTGCGAGCTATGGTGCAGGCCAATCCACAAATTTTGCAGGTTCTTATCCGCCACTCTGCAGCCAGTCTTTTTGTTTGTCCATCTAACATTTAAAAATGTGAACATTTTATTTTTCATTTTTCTTCTGAAAAAAGAAGAAGAAAAAAACCCACCCTAAACAGCCTCAGTTACTCTTCTTATTGATAGCCCATGCTTCAGGAGCTGGGGAAGCAAAACCCTCACCTGATGAGGCTTATTCAGGAGCACCAGGCTGATTTTGTTCGCCTGATCAATGAACCTGTTGAAGGTGGAGAGGGGTATGTTCTCTGGTTGGTTATATTCATTTAAATGATAGTTATGAATGTTCACGGTCCTAATTTGCTGTTAATATGTTATCAGTAACGTACTGGGACAGCTTGCTGCAGCAATGCCACAGTCTGTAACAGTTACACCTGAGGAGCGTGAAGCCATAGAACGTGTAAGTATTGCCTTTTCCTAATTTTTATTTGAATTTAGATGTGTTTAGTGTGGTGGTCTTGAAGTGATCTTTTGATAGGGGTTTTTTTCCCAATACCTATGAATTCTATTGGATCCATAACTATACATTGGAAGACTCCTTTGGATCTCCTAGAAATATATCCATCCCTAACCCCTCACATCAATTCCATGATCCTCTTAATCCTTTTTCATTCGAGTCCAACATCTGTTGGAATTGATACTTTGGATCCAGTTAGATAATATTTTGTAAATTTTAATTTTTTGTCAATTGTCCTTTATGTAAGCCACTTTATTTATTTGCTTTTTTTTTGTCCAACTCATGTTTTTTGTTGTTCAAAAGTTTGACTTTTGTATTAGATGCTTGCTCTATTATTAGAATCTTGCAGTTTGCGATTCAGGTCATGATTTGATTTGCAATTCATGCATATATTGATACAAATCTATGGGTGAATCTATTATTAGAATCTTAATTGAATGTTTTGATGGTCATAGGTTATGTTAAAGGAATAGTTTTGGTGGATATAGCAACCATGGTTTAAAGGAATATTATGAAAATATTCAAAGTTTGATTTTTTTATTTTGTATTCAAACAATCTGCCTTATTTTTACAATCTGCTTTATTTTTGTATTCAAACAATCTGCTCTATTTTTATTTTGTATATGGAAAGTATTTTTTCTGAGTTCTGAGGTACGGAGATAAATAAGGATTATAAGATTTACGTGGTGTGAATGCAACTGATTTTTGTGTTTGGAAAAAACTCTGGGAATCTTGAATTCCCTCTAAATGGGCAGTATTTGTGTGGAAGTGTCTTCATAATATAGTATCTGTGAGATGATAGTTAAAGATAAGAGATATTCCCAATCCAGTGTGATTGATTTGCGAATGCGGCCAAAACCATTGAACATCTCTTTTTTCAATGTCATGTATCACAAAGAATTTGGAGAGGTACTTCTAGGGGCTTGGACTTTACCTGTGGCCACCCAGTTTGCTTTAAACATGGTGGATCAATTGGGTTACAATGATTAAAGAAGAGGACATGATTGTTCAATCTATTGCCTTGCTATGGGCAATTTGGAGGCAGCGAAATAGTGTGGTCTTCCATAATGAAAAGATGACAATAGAGCATAACTATTTCAATTGCTAATGAGATTCATCAACATTGGACTAACTGTGCATTCATGTTTTCCAATGATAATATCTTAGAATGTCTTACTGATATCTTTGGAAAAAGATGGAAATACAGAGAATTGTGGTCTTCTTGCTAATAACCTTTCTTTAAATTCTGTTTTCCAGTTATATACATGTGTGGTAGATGGAGCATGGAAGTGCAAAAATGGAGAGGCAGGAATAGCATGGGTCTGTTTCAATGAAAATCAAGACATTGTCTATCAACAAGCTGATTGTCTATCAATGAAAATCAAGACATTGCAGAATCCATTTTTAAGAAGTAAAACATGCTTTGGGAATTTTGAATTTTTATAATGAGCGGATGTTTTGGAGATGTTTTTATAAAAATGGAGTGCAGTAATTTTGAATTCAAAATTTTTTATAAAAACATCTGTAATTTTGATTTTACAGATGTAATTTTGAGCAGATGTTTTTGAACAAAAATGGAGTAATTTTGAAAATGGAGTAATTTTGAACAAAAATGGAGCAGGTGTAATTACTGCACTCAATTTTGATGATGTTTTTGTAAAATTACTGCACTCCATCTCATTAATTTTTTATTTCAAAATTTTAATTTTTGAATTCAAAACATCTGTTTTATAAAAATTCAGAATCCATTAATTCAAAATTTTGAAGTAATATTACTTTGGGAATTTTGAATTTTTACAAAACATCTGCTCATTTTTAAAACATCTGATCAAAAATTACTGCACTCCATGTAATATCCATTTTTATAAAACATGTTTTTATAAGAAGTAAAAATTACTTATGTTCAAAATTACATCTGTTTATAAAAGTATGTTTAAAGCATCTTTATAATGAGCATCTGTTTATAATATATGTTTTTGAGATGATAAGTAATATCTCAAAGCATCTTTATAAAACATATTTTTATAATCTGTCAATAAATAAAAATTTATTAGTGACAACATTTTTAAAGTAGAAAAATTGTTAGTAAATCCAATTTGAGGGGTGCATTAAGGCCAAGTTTGGGAAGACTAAAAAAGTACACTTTTTGTCTTTTTGGACTAAAAAATTGAGGTTGAAAATATGGATGTTTGGGTTAACTTTTTGACTTTTTATTGAAAAATGTGTAATAAAAAATTGTAAAAATTGATTTGTAGGAAAAAATTTGAATTGGGAGTTGTGCAGCCGTAATTGTTGACTTTTGGTGAATAGTGTTAATTTTTTAACTTTTTGAGTAACTTTTTGACTTTTTGACTTTTTTTAAAGTCCCCAAACTTGGCCTAAGTATTAGATCCAAGCTTTGGTCTTTGTTGTTTATAAAGACTCATGTTTGTTTTTCTTATGTAGTTAGAATTTAATTGGCAGCAGCAATACTAACTGGTGTATATTTTAATTTTAATTTCTTTTAAATTACAGAGTACTGATTGGTGTGCATTATTAGATATTTATTATTAACTTTTTTTATATTTGATTTGTTTTGAATTGTAGAGTGTAGTCTATTAAATATATTTTTATAATTATATTTTTATCTTAAATTTAAATAATATTACGATTACAAATGTGCCCCCGACTGGTCCCCAGCATTGCCCTATTTATAATTTTGACAAATTAACAATAAAAATTCAACAAAGATATATATTTGTTTATAAGCCGATATATATCTCCGAATTCCTTGTTTATAAGCCGATATATATCTCCGAATTCCAATTTGCGATCATCCAACTTCGCTACCGCCTTTATCCACTCAGGGTCCTCGTCTCCCCGTTTATACAGTCAATTCGAGGGAGGAATGGCCGCGGCCCAGCTGTACGTTGTGATTCTGCTACTTTTGGGGTTCATCTCCACGTCTCAACTACAGGTTGATAATTCTATCCATCCCTATCCTTTTTGTTTTTGTTTTTGTTTTTGTTTTGTTTTGTTTTGTTTTTTTTTCAACTAATGCATAAGAAGAAGCTCTTATTGTTTCGGATCTGACCGACTTGGCTGGCTGAAATTAAGGATCTGCGTGCTCTGATTATCTTGTCGTTTTCTTTTCCCTTATCTTGCTTGCTTTATTGTTATGTTTTGTAACTAAGGTACCAGTGTCGGTAGCTTTTATTTTTTAAGATCTGATTGATTTGGCTGGACTTAGGTCGAGGATCTGCATCTATTTATGCTCCAGATTATTCGTTTTTAAACTTAAATTTGTACTTGGACACTGATTATTTTCTCAAAAAATTATCAGTTGGTATAATTATAATTGTCCACCACAAAACAAAGTTCATTTCTCGGAAAAAAATATTTAATCAATAACGCTCCATTTGTTTGGGAAAATGTTCGTGTATTTTTTGCCGTTTGGGAAAAACTAAAGTCTAACATAAACATTTTCCATGGTCCACAGGAAACAAGCCTACTTTGGACAGAAAATATTTTTCGCCAAAACACGTTTAAAGGCTTACTACTGTCACCACAGTACCACCAGCACTATCATCGTCGCCACCACCATTACCGTCGCCATTACCACTGCACAACGGCACCACCATGCCACCACTTTCACCTCCACCTTCGTCCCACCACCACCACCACCAAACATAAAAAAAATATTTTTTCTGGAATTTTTATTTTTCAAAGTTTTCCGTAAAAAATGTTCTCCACCCAAACAATCAAACGAAATGTAAAGTTTTTTTTTTTTTTTTTAGCAAACCTACTCTAGGCTAATCTAATTTATATAGGTGATCTATATATAGAGTGAGGGAAAGGAAAGGAGAGTAGAGGAGGCAGAGGTTGAACCACGTCAAGAGTTGGAAAATGTGGGCCTGACCACGGGGCCACTCTTTTAACAAACAAATTATTGCAAATTATAAGATCTATCTAATTGTTAGGCCACATTGCAATATCAAAATAAATGACATTAATTTTCAGTAAATTTTTTTATATTTTTCAAAATAATTTTCAGCAAAACAATTTGCAGCGGGTCATAGGGACAAAAAGAATAGACACGATACACAAGGATCCTTAAACGGCTAAGATCATACCTAATAACTTAGGCAAAGAGTACACCTCCCCCAGTTTATGGATTGAAGTAGAAAGGACTGACTTCTGACCTTGGACATTCTATTGTTCTACTAAATCATGAATTCTTCCTATCACTTTTGGACTGTAGCAACTTCACTGCCTCTGAACTCTAAGCTCATCTCTGTAATATGCAGTACTACTATTGTGTTTCCTCCTCTTAGTGCACTCTTGAACTACATGGCCTCTCATACAACATCTGAAAGAATAAAACAGATAGGAACAAACAAGGACCTATGTGGATGTAACTTGGGTTGTGAGAGATTAGGTTGTCTTACTTTTTTAGGTTGAGTATTCCTCCTACAAGTATCTTCTATGGTATTATGTACTTGTGGTTTGACAACTTGCTTTTTTTCACCATACCCTAGACCTATTTTGTCTCCTACATTATTGAGTACTTTCCTTCAACTTCTCTTCTTTTTCAAGATTCTCAATTTTGTTGTTTCAATTCTTTTGTCAAAGGAGTGAGGGGACAACTACCAATGAGGGTTTGTACTTGCCTTTTCCGGTGCCTAATGGTCCTTGGCAATGCATTAGCATGGACTACATGAACTTTGTGTTACGATTGACACCTACACAAGCGTGATTCTATTATAGTTGATCGCTTCTCTAAGATGGCACATCTTATCCCTTATCGGAAGACTATGGATGCTACTAATGTGGCTAATCTCTTCTTCAAGGAAGTCTACAATCTTCATGGGGTTTCTATTTCTATTGTGTCGGATAGTGATACCAAATTCCTTGGTCATTTTTGGAGGACTTTATGTAAGAAGATTGGTACCAATTTGCACTTTAGCACTAACTTCTATCCACAAACTGATGGCCAAACGCAAGTGGTCAACTGGATTATTGGGAACTTAATGAGATTTCTTATTGGAGATCACCCTAAGGGTTGGGACTTTGGCTGAATTTGCTTATAATTCTTCTATAACATGTCTCCTTTTGAAGTGATTTGTGGTGCTTAGTAACAGGAATCGTCGAAGCTCATCACGAATCTGAGGAAGAAGCGCAATTTTGCTCTTCTAAGGAAGAATTAGAGAAGAATTGCGCCTCTGATGAGAGAGCAAGGCAATCTCGATTTGTCTTTCGATCTCCTCTTTTGCGAGCTCTTGCCCTACGACTCTTCTAAGTGGCCACGCTCCCGCTTCATGCAACTAAGTGCCAAACGTTTTAGTGTGGTGGATCTAGCTCATTTGCCTATCTCAAGAGGGTCAATGTCAAAGCAGAGGATATGACTGCGTTTATGCTACAAGTGCATGCTCAAGTGAGGGCCCAAATCAAACAATCCAATGCTAAGTACAAAGTCGCAACTGTCTTACACCAGTGAAAGGTTGTCTTCAAAGTGGGTGATCTTGTTTCGGTAGTTTTGACAAAGGACAGGAAGCCCCGCGGTTCTTATATGAAGTTGACGGATCGGAAAGTGGGTCATTGTGAGATTTTGAGCAAGAAATGACAATGCCTATCAAGTGTGTTTGCCCCCTCACCTGAACATCTCTGATGCCTTCAATGTCTAACACTTGGCTCCTTATGTGTTTGACTAGTTTTTGTTGCGTTTGCTTCTGTTGGAAAAATCACTTTCAAGGGCATGAGTGTTGATGTAAGTGGTTGTCATGTGTTTGTGTTAGTAGATGAGTTGGTTGTCTATAACTAGGTGTGCAGGGGCTTTATTAACCAACTTTTGATCATTTGATTCATTAGGAACAAAGAGGATGGAAAGAGGATAAAGAAGAGTGATGGAGAACAAAGTCAAGAGAGAGAAATACATGCACAAGAGCAAACATATAAATAGCTTATGTCTTTACCCAAAAGAAAATATATATATAAATAGCATACACATCCACAATATTATTTATGTAGTGTAGTAATGCATTAGGTTATCAATGACTTTCAAACTTCCAATCCTAATTTCTAAGAGAAAGTGGACATTCTCTCTACACAAGACACTCCCCAAGTGTTTCCTTCCCCTTATATCTAATTTATATATTTCACAATAACAAAAAGCTCAAAGTGGTTAAATTTAAAAAAGCCAATCAAAAGACAAAAAAGGAAAATCTAAAGTTATGCCTATTCTGTTTCCTTCAATCAAATTTTTTTTATTTGTGTACTTCTTTCTAAATTTAAAATATGACATGCCATATATTCATTGGATAGTTTTTCAATTTCTAAGCATCAACATTTATAATTTACCAATTAACACATCGTTGCAAAAGTTTGCCCACATACCTAGTGTGAGACCCAGAAAATCCTCTCACATGGATTGTTGAAGAGATCCAACGCAAAGAAGAGCTTGACCCCTATAGATTTGCAAGGATGAACATTGTCGACGCCACCCAACTGGGGTTGCCGACGGAAGACACTCTAATGATAAAGTTAGCGACTTGAAACAAATAGAGAAGATGAAGAACTCAAGAGAGTGTGTGTGCTGTGTGATGTAGAGATATGAGTCATACCTTCATTCCATGGGATGCCTTCTTTTTATAAATAGGGGTGTGATATTTACTTGATGGGCTCCCTTGTTTGGGTTGGGCCCATTGTTAGTAAGGTAATATTTTTTGGGCCACCACAATTGCCCCAAAACTTTCATTTTCTGCAATAGAAGGAATGATGAGAGTTTTTATTGCCGAGTTATACTATTCAAATAAACGTTAGGTCTCTCAATAAAGAATGTATTTGATAAATGAATAAAATGAATGCATGAATGACTATATGAATGCATGTATGCATGAATGTATGTATATATGTATATATGAATAGAAAACTAGGGTTTTGCTCCGAATTCGGAGGTTTTCGTGCTTCGAATTTGGAGCCTTTTGTCTCAATGTCAGACATTGCAAGGATATGGAATAGTGCATACTGTGTCATGGATTTGTAAACTTGGTGATCACAATAAGTGGGAAGCAAAAAAACGGACACCAATATTGGAAGCAGATTAGTTAAGTTGCTATTTTGTGTTTGTTGTTTTGTATTTTGTCCAACGTGGACTTGCCGAGGAGTAAGCTGAGAACAAATTGTTGAGGCGGATACCTTGCCCCGAGGATCGGTGTGCCATGTTTCGGGGCAGGTGCGGCGTTGGTGACGACGATGATATAAGCAGAAAGTTGCCAATAAGTTGTAGTGGTTGAATTTGGCATTGAGCAAACTCCAGGCGCGGCGCAAAAATGTTGTTTTAGTTACGATATGTGGCCTTGCATATAAAATTTGCAAATTTTTTGTATGGAATTTGAGAAATCAGACCGTACAAATGTGTTCAGAAGACTATTGGATCGTTGGAATCGGACTCCTGATGGCGTAATTTTAGCCAAAATTGATTCGATGGATCCGATCGGTGGAGAATTGGGCTCCACGAAGCACTGGATAATTTCTCTGACATATGTTGCGTTGGACGACTTGGCAGCTCGGCTTGAACTTGTTGCTGGCAAGATTTGAACTTGTGCTCTTTGGATGAAAGAATAAAACTTAACCACTTTGCCACAACAGATCCTTGTGTTTGTATTCGGCAAGTTATTTATTTGAACTTGATTGTGGTTCATGCATGGCCTTGGTGTGAAACCTACTGGATGTAACCTTGCCGCAATGCACACAATAATTTCTTAGGTTGGCCAACTCTAGTCGTCTTCTCTGGCGGAATAATGGCATTGCTCAACCTATTGGATCGTTGGAATCGGACTCCTGATGGCGTAATTTTAGCCAAAATTGATTCGATGGATCCGATCGGTGGAGAATTGGGCTCCACGAAGCACTGGATAATTTCTCTGACATATGTTGCGTTGGACGACTTGGCAGCTCGGCTTGAACTTGTTGCTGGCAAGATTTGAACTTGTGCTCTTTGGATGAAAGAATAAGACTTAACCACTTTGCCACAACAGATCATTGTGTTTGTATTCGGCAAGTTATTTATTTGAACTTGATTGTGGTTCATGCATGGCCTTGGTGTGAAACCTACTGGATGTAACCTTGCCGCAATGCACACAATAATTTCTTAGGTTGGCCAACTCTAGTCGTCTTCTCTGGCGAAATAATGGCATTGCTCAACAAACTTCGACGAGCTTGTACACTTCGTTTGAACTCTAATTTTGACACGATTTGTTAGGTTGGACTCGTCTCAATGAGTACTTCACATTGGTATGGTCAAAACTTGATTTCAATAACTTCAAAAATGTCAGTGTGCTGAAAATTTGGTCCGTTTCGCAACTATTGGTGGCCATCGGTTAGTAAGGCTCTTTTAGTCGGTGAGTCCAGACTTCTCTAGTCGACATGAACCCTCCGGTTGGCTAAGCAATTGTTCTCATGAAAAAGAATATGGACCCAATTTCTAGAGAGAGAAAATGGGCAAGTCGGCAAGTCGGCAATGTAATTGGCTCACCGAAGGTGTCCTATAACTGCTGTCGAAATTCTTGGTTTGCATTGCTCGTGATAGTTCAGTGCTGAGCGTTGAAAAATAGTCTGGTCAATTTGTGCGAATGCAACAAGTTAGTTGCTTTTCGGCATTGCTGAATGACCCATGTACTGCCGAGGAGGATGGATGAGCTTCAACAGACTGTAGGCCAATGGTGACGCCAAATAAACAATGTTGCCGAATTGCGGGTTATGTTGCCGAATTGTCAAGCATTATATATAGCCACTTTGCCAAGTAAGTAATCTCATCGTTGGGCTTTATTATTGTAATTTGACTCTTCGACATTGCCGAGTAGGCGTACTTGTGATAGTCGGATCTTGAGTTTGAGCTTATGATCACTACATAAGGATTTTGTTGATGACTCAACAAGCTTGCGATGGCTGTTGTCAAGGATTTTGTTCATCAAAATTGACTACTCAGATAATGTTTCCAATCCTCCTGTTCGGCAACCTTCATATTCGTTGATCAGCCGATCATTCTCCTAGAGAGTGCCAAGACCCAATTGTAGATCTACCAACTTCGTCTTGGTCTTTAACTTGCCGAAACAATTGGTTTCTCCTTTTGTCTTGCCAAATAATATTGTTGAGCCAATCATAATGTATCAAGCCATCTCCATGCAAACCTTAATAAAGTCCACATCTTCATGCATGTAAACTATAAATTCATTAAATGATATGGGAGATATAGATTTAGAAAACAGTAAACTCAAAAGTATCAGGATCCGCTCATTGTAATTAAAATTCTCTCCAGATTATTTTATTTTATTTTTGTCATTATTATTAATTTTTTTATTTTTTGAGCAGATGACAAATGTTGCAGAGCCGTAGATAAAAAGATTTGAATTGTGGGTATTGTCGCAGTTGGCAGTAGATGGCCAAGGTGATGAATGAATGATTGACGAAGACGGATGATTGTGGCCTAGCTCCATGATCTTACTATTGAAATTGCATGCCAATTGGACACGATCTGACCATTGATCTGTTGTTTAACGTCCTTGATTTACCGGTTTATTAATCCCAATGTGAGACTCAAAATTTGCAAAATTGGACTCCAAAATGGATTCTACATGGCGAAAAATGCAAGAGTTGGCATCCCCCAGGTTATTGGACCACTTGATTAACTTGAACGCGCTAAGATACAACGGAGCACTTTGCGCCGAGAAGCGCACGATAAATCTTGATGTTATCTTCTTCATGCAGCACATTGTGAAAAAGCAGAATTTGTTAGATTTAAATCCCTGACTTTGAGTCCTTGTATCTCCTTTGTTTTAAGTCCGATTCGCCTCATTTTTGCGGTGTTGGATTCCTCTCGCGGCCTATTGTTCATTCCACCATTTATACACCTAAAGTTGACAAAAAACTAGATTGTTTTTCTTGTTTTTGTTTGTTCGGCTCATCGCTAAAGTGTAGTTGGTGGAAAAATGTGCTTGAAGAGAACTTGAAGAGGCTCACGATTGTTGAGTACACACTTGGCAGCGAATAATAGGGGCCAGTTTACATCTCGGCGTGGAAATTGCTCGGGGATTGTTCGAAACGGTAAGCAAATATTTCATAACTATGGTAACTTTGGCGGCTGAAATAGAGGGGTTGAAAACTCTTCTTGGTCGTTTGGGTTGCCGAAACACTTGGTCGGCAACCTCTTGATTGTTCGGCTTGTCGAAATGTTTGTTGGTAACTCGGCAACTTCTTTGGTCGGTCAAAATATTTCTGCTATACTTAGTTACTTACTTTGTTGAAACCGCTTGGTCGGCGAGGCATATTGGTAAGCACAAGGCTTCACGTTTCGAAGATAAAGCCTCAAATGTTGTTGATGGGATTGGAACTCGGCGAGTGATTGTTTGCCGATCAATTCATGTCGGCGATGAAGTATTTGAGAAGCCAAGGAAATTGGGTACGAACCTTGTGAATTGTTCATAGCCATAGATCTATCGGTGTACCCATTTGCTGTGCAGAATTCTGGAGCCTCGCCAGTGAAGGGTCTTGGCTATATTGCTCTGTTGTGCTCTGGTTTTGGGTCTTAGAGTTTAGACCTAGTTGTTGATTCTGAAATTGATCCTGTATGTAATTCTTGAACTGTTTCATGTGGACGACGGTGTCGCCATAAGGATGACTATAGCGTTGCCGAACTAAAGTTGGGGGCGAGTCGGCCGTTCGGTTATTTGTTATTGAGCCATAACACATAATTCTTTAATTCCTGTTGATTGTTAGCACGTGCACATGTATGTATCAAGAATCAACTTTAAAATAAACTTTGTGAGGCAATAAATTAATAAATAAAGTCCTAGGGTGGGTTTGGAAGAACAACCCATGTTGTATTGTCGAAAAGCTGCGCTCACAAAGAAAAGTGTGAAACCCATTTTTAGAGAGAGAAAATAAAGACTCAAAAGTAGATTTATGAACTCTGTTTTGTTTTTTACAAAATTTTCATCAAGATTGACAATGAACAAAAGTTTTCCACGGAGTTTGTAAGCACACACAGTAACATGTTTGCTATTTTCTTCGTTGAACTCTTTAGACGATTCCCATAAACGGCGCCAATTGTGAGACCCGGAAATCCTCTCACATGGATTGTTGAAGAGATCCAACGCAGAGAAGAGCTTGACTCCGGTAGATCTGCAAGGATAAACATAGTCAGCGCCACCCAATTGGGAGACACTCCGATGATAAAGTTAGCAACTTGAAGTAAATAGAGAAGATGAAGAACTCAAGAGAGTGAGTGTGTTGTGTGGTGCAGAGATATGATGCATACCTTCATTCCATGGGATGCCCTCCTTTTATAGATGCGGGTGTGATATTTATTTGATGGGCTCCCTTGTTTGGGCTGGGCCCATTGTTAATAAGGTAGTATTTTTGGGGCCATAGCCATTCCCAGCCCATAGTAATTGCTTTGGAGTAAACCAAGAGTCTTGCTTGTGCCAAAATGTCCCTTGTTATGAAGTTCCATCAACATTTGCTCTCTCAAAGAACAATTGGAACACACAGTTGCAATCTCTTAAAGGGGAAGTGATCATTCAACATGTAATTAGGATGGGAAGTTCTATCTCCTCTTTGCAAGGCTTAAAGAATCTTGCTAAAGTAGGGATCCGTTGCATAGGAGGTTTGGAATTCATTAAATCCCACTACTTGAGCCTTCATTTCTACTAAAAAAGCAACCATTCAACTCAACCTGTTGGCAACTATGGCTGTCCAGTAACCCACATAACCTGATTCAACTCTCCGACCCAAATCAAACTGCACAGCTGTGGTCGATTTTGTGAGATACAGCAGTTGGTCTCGGTTGGCGCATCCTTCAAAATATTGGTTTATCGGTCGGCAGCGGTTTCAAAATTAATCCAGCCGTTCAAATCTAACCAACCGAAAGTAGTAATAATAAATAGTGCATGGTAGGAAGCATTGGTAATTGAGAAGACATCATATCTCTCTTAAGACTTGCATCTCTTCTATATCACATTGGAATTCTAGATCTGGAGAAACATCCCACCTATCCCCTTGTTGGCCTCATCCCACCTATCACATTGGAATTCTCTCTCTCTCTCTCTCTCTCCGTGCCTAATTATCTCTCATTCACAGAGTCTCATATCTCTGTACCTCCTCTCATTCTAATTTCTCTTCCTTTTCACTCATCCCCTCCCCACTTCCTCCCTAATTTCCCTCAGACCTCACTCCTCCATCAACTCAAATCCCATGAAAACCCACACATTTGAAGGGTGTTAGCAGTGCTGTTGACAAAAGAAGTGGGTAAGATATCCTTGCCTGCTGTGCATCCGAAACTTGTTCTCCAATGATCAAATGTAACACTTCATGTATGAGAGACAATGGCGGTGCTATGGATGAGAAGTCTTGGTGACTTTATAAGCTGCTCCCTTTTCTTGTTTCTTTGTAAATTTAAATTTGTTGTTGTTTTTTGTAAGGTAAATTTAATGATGAACTTTTTGGACTTACTTAGTTCTCTATATGCAGGCTGTCGCAGTTGAACCGATTTCCCATCTAAAATTGAACTCTAAGATTCTTCAGGTACTTGCTACCCATCTAAAATTGAACTCTAAGATTCTTCAGGTACTTGCTACCTTCTTGCTTTTATAACATGTACAAGCTTGTCCAGATTATGAAATTATGGCCATGTCTATGGTGATGCAGGAGTCAATTATTAACCTGGTAAATGGAAACCCCAGAGCTGGATGGAAAGCTGATATGAGTCCTCGATTCTCTAATTACACTGTGAGTCTTCTCAATGGCCTTCGGTTTTGCTATATCACTCATATCCATTTAATACATAGGTAACCTCAGTTCTATGCCCCATTGTTGCCAAGTCTCTATTTTTTTCCCCTTAACTTCCTTTGGTTTGCAGGTTGGCCAATTTAAGCACCTTCTTGGAGTCAAACCAACACCACAGCATGATTTGAAGAATGTTCCTGTTATCACTCATTCAAAAACAGTGAAGTTGCCGGATCAATTTGATGCCAGAACAGCATGGCCTCAATGTAGCAGCATTGGAAAAATTCTTGGTTGGTTACTTGCTTGGTCTTGGTTAATTTATGATTATTTTTGAAGGTGCTAATATTTTATTCTTCTCTATGTTGACAACTGGAATGCTCCGCATTAAAAGATCAGGTGACTCACATTGCCATTTCTATGCATTTTTCTTTTCCACAAAATGATCCTTGTAGATTTGTCATCTGATCTGATTTTCTGTAAATTAGGGTCATTGTGGTTCTTGTTGGGCTTTTGGTGCTGTTGAGTCACTATCTGATCGTTTTTGTATCCATTTTGGCATGGTAAGGTCTTACTTTCACAGACAGCAAACTGAAGATCTCCAATTTTTTGTTATAAAGATATTTTGACATATATCTTTTTACCATTCCTTTATTGCAGAATATTTCTCTATCTGTTAATGATCTCTTAGCATGCTGTGGCTTTTTGTGCGGTGATGGTTGTGATGGTGGTTATCCTCTTTATGCATGGCGATACTTTGTCCACCATGGTGTCGTCACTGAAGAGGTAGGAACATTTATGCTCTGTAATAAAGTAGTCATGAATGGCTTCATTGGCTAAGTTACAAATGTGCATACATGCCGAGGTGCATTCTTAAATATCTAAAAAAATGTTGTTCTGGCAGTGTGACCCATATTTTGATAATACTGGATGTTCACATCCGGGTTGTGAACCTGCGTATGCTACACCAAAGTGTAAGAGGAAGTGCGTAAACAAGAACCTGCTCTGGAGGCAATCAAAACATTTCAGTGTCAGTGCATACAGAATCCACTCAGATCCCAACAATATCATGGCAGAAGTTTATACAAATGGACCAGTTGAGGTCTCTTTCACTGTCTATGAGGTAAAAAAACTCATGAACTTCTGTGGTGAAATTATAATGCAGTGCTGCTTGTGTGGATGTGATTCTGTTGTGTTTAGTTTGGCCCTCCAACCCATAATGTGAGTTCATGAAGCTGAAGAAATATGCCACAGTCCTTACAACATAAGATTACCCTCAGTGGAATTATGCACACTGCTTGAATCTTTAGTCGGAGAATGATTCTATATCACATTTTGATAAATTCTCTCTCTTAAGTATCTTGTTCCTTTTGGTTTTCTCTACTTCATCTGCAAAATGCTTTGTATATTGAAAGTAATTTCTTATGAGCTTCTTGAACTTGACTGTTGTTTTGTTTATAGTATATCTTTTATTTAACTGCCATACTTGTTTTTGGATCAGGATTTTGCTCATTACAAGTCAGGTGTTTACAAGCACATGACAGGTGATGTCTTGGGTGGTCATGCTGTAAAGCTAATTGGATGGGGAACTACTGAGGATGGGGAGGATTATTGGGTAGGTTGATATGTTCCTCATTATTATCAATATTTAAGACGATATTCTCATTATTATCTTTAAAATCCATATTTAAGACAGTATCCTCATTGTATACTTCAAATGTATTGCAGCTTCTTGCAAATCAGTGGAATAGAAGCTGGGGTGATGTATGTTCTACGTGTCATTTATTTTATTTCCATAATTAGCTACATTAAAATATGACCTTATTAAATACTCAACTAGCTTTTTAAATGGCAGGATGGATACTTCAAGATCAAAAGAGGAACAAATGAATGTGGCATTGAAGAGGATGTGACTGGTGGCTTGCCTTCATCCAAAAACTTGATTAAAGAGTTCGCTAATATGGATGCTACTCTTGATGTGTCAGTTTGACAGTTGATTATTCTATGGAGAGAGTGCTATCCATAAGCTGTGGAATTTGATCTAATATGCGTGTGTGTGTGTGTGTGTGTTGTGTTTAAGATGAAACAAAGGCAGATGTGATCCTTGTTATTTGTTTGTATGTGTGAACAAATGATATGCTGGTTTGTGAAAAATAAAAGAAAAATCAATGACAATTTATAGCCATATTGTACTGACGCTGGATAATGGCCTTGTTAATTTATAGCCACGTTCTTCCTTTTTAATGTGCATAGTTGTTATTGTTTGGTTGCTTGAATCTCGTGTTGCCAAATTGTACTGATGCTGGGTAATGGCCTTCTCAATTTATAGCCACATTCTACCTTTTAATGTGCATCATTGTTGCTGTATTTGGTTGCTTGAACCTTTTGCACAGGTGATGGTGACTTTCCTTTGTTGTTTACCAAAAATGCTAGCCCACTAGCGCCACACCCTCCACATAACCACCACCCCTTCCCCTGCCTACCATGCGCCAACTGCAAACCCACCACCACTCCACCAACCTTCCCACCACCATCCCCAATATTCAAACCCCTCTACCCAACCGGCTTTGCCCCCCTTGCTGCGGATGACTATAAAACTTGAAGTCTCAAAAGCTTAGGAGATTTTGTGTAAATTTGTAATTCAACTCAAATCCAAATTCAAGCATTTCAAAGAATAAAAGAAATAAATGATTGTCAACAAAATAATAATAATAATAATAAAAGAGAAAAATGGTATGTTTTAGAGGTCTTTACACAACTTTGCAAGGATTTTAGTATCATATGACAATTATTTACACGTCCATGCTCCACGTTGAGTAACAAATTCATGACATTATTGGGTCCATGCTCCACGTTGAGTAACAAATTCATGACATTATTAGGGTGAACTGTGCAAACTAATCTCATGACATATTGTGAATTGTGATTTGACCAGTTTATTAAATAAACAAATGAACCTAAAATTACCAAAAGAATCAATAACCTTACATATCATATCACAAGTGAAGAATTTTCTCTCTAGTGTTCCTATCATTACACGTTTTTTTTTTTTTTTTCATTAAACAAATATTATTACAAGGCTATATACATCCATCCGTCTCCTCCCAAAGCCATTTCCCCAACTTTTCCAATTTATTCATTTACTTTCACTATTTTGATAGGCTAAAATATTTGTATTTAGAAAAAGGTTTGAATTTTTTTGTAATTGAATATAATGTTTGTAGGAAAAAAAGTGAAATGATTATGAGTTTGAATATTAAAATCACAAAAATAAAATAAAAAGTGAGATTTAAATTGTATTTAAATATTAAATTTAGGTAAAAAAAAATTGTAGAGCAAATAGTAGATGGCTAAACTTGCACAAGGCTTGTCCCTATGTATGGCACCACGAATTTGAGCTCAATCTAGATTTTGTTTTTTAGTAATATTTTTTTCAAAAATTGATCAAAAAAATTTTGGACTTTTAAATTTTATTTGACGAGATAAAAAAAATTATTTTTATTTTAAAATCCCAAAAGAATTTTTTAAAAAATCAGCAAAAATAAAAATTATTACTAAAAATAAATAATTCAATTTTTTTTACTCGTTTGAAATTCCTAAACAACCCGTCAATTAAAGAAAAGGCCAGTGCACGCCTTTCACGTTACACAGTTGGGTCAGATCGGGCGAGCATATGCATATACGGGCAATGCTAGATTCCATTAAAATGGTGCTTTAAATCAACTATTAATGATGTAGCATTTATTTAAAAAAAAAAATACTAAAAATGTTAGAGATTTCAAAAATTCTAATAAAAGTTTTTTTTCTTTGGTACAGAATATTTGGGGTCTCTAGCATTACTCAGAAAACACACATATACAATAATATTGTGGCAATGGGTTGGATCACTCTCACATCATTAGTGGTACTAACTAGTTCTCTCACTCATTTTTCGAGAAGTAAAATACAAAAAAAAAATACTATAAATCCTAAATAAATTATCAAATTTTTTACATAAATATAAAACCCACACATAATTTGTATGAATTTCACATCTATATAATTTGGTAGAATATTTAGTAATCTATTTGCGATGTCTAGGATAACTCAAATACAAAAGAGCGAACAGTCCCTAATAATCCAAAAGAGTAAAGTCTTGATAAAAAAAAATGCTCGATAAATTTATCTAGAAATTACTGCTAACAAATTATCCATTACTCGTCTCCGTCCGTCGTTCCATCCACCCATCTTGCATAATAATCTTTTCATCAGTTTTTCTTTCTTTCTTTCTTTCTTTCTTTCTTTCTTGTTGAGAAAGAAAGAGCTCATCTCTTCCATTTGGTTTAGCATCGGCTACGCATTTTGTTGTGGCGTTGGTTTCTTCGCGCGCGCTATATCTTCTTCTCAAGGAGCCTTTGTTGAAATGTTGTCGGATTTTGAAAAAGCATATGATCGTGTGGAGTGAGTTTTTTTTTTTTTTTTTTGGGAAAAGAGGGAGCGTTGTTATCGTGATTGGTAATTTGTAATCGTATCTCGTGTGTGTGTGTGTGTGTGTGTGTGTGAGAGAGAGAGAGAGAGAGAGACAGCGACAGAGAAGCGCGGCATGTCGATACCAAAGGAGCCGGAGCAGGTTATGAAGCAAAGAGGGGGATCTGTGCTGGGCAAGAAGACCATTCTCAAGAGTGATCATTTCCCTGGCTGCCAGAACAAACGCTTGTCTCCGCAGATCGATGGTGCTCCCAATTACCGTCAGGTTTTGCCCCCAACAATTCTCCCACATCTATCTTATTTTCTTTCCTCTTCTTTTCTTTTGCCTTCCCAACACTTTTTCTTTCTTTGGTACAGAGTCATGGGAGTAATGACCCTAATTTTTGTTCTCCTCCTCCTGAATTTTGTCCACTTAATCTTTCAGTCGTCTCAAACGAAGTTATTCCTCTGACAAAAGCGCCGAACAAAAATAACCTAACTTTTTTGACAAAAGCCCCAATGCATGTTCGTTCAGACCCTGGATGGAGGTTGATTTACCTGGTTGAGCTGATTTCATTTTTATCTTGCATCACTGAACCACGATTACAATGGAGACTTGTGCATTATATGTTAATAATAGAACTTGGTTGATTGCCATCCTTAAACCTGTTTCCAACCCCTTCTGTGACTTCACTTGTACTGCTGCCTACATTCTTAACATCTGATATCATCTTTAAATCTCTAGGCTTCTTAATAATCCATCCTCCTTTCCATGTTGGGTATTTGCTTGAATGGTTAGTGGTCTTATATGTGCCAATAAACTCACAGATCTTTTTCCTTTTCTTTTTGGAAACTTTATGTAACCATGTTAATTAAATTATCATTAGTTTTGGAAACAATTGTGGGGTTCATGGATACACTGGCATTTTATAATACTGTGGCCATTGCATTTCCACCCTGGATGGATGCTTATATGATGACCTTATGTGGGTTTGATGTGTTGGTAATTCTATTTGCATATTTGGTTTCTAAATTTACCAATGTACATGTGACGCAGAAATTATTCACACTTTAAGAACCTTACTTGAACACAAGTACAAATCTCTGATGTGTGTCATGGCATCCTTAATTTGCTTTTCATTTCTATTTAACTTATTTTTGTTTTCTTGTTTTGTAATAGGCTGACTCGTTGCATGTCCATGGTGTTGCAATTCCCACAATTGACGGCATCCGGAATGTTCTTAACCACATTGGGGCTCAAATGGATGGGAAGCAAACACGAGTTCTTTGGATTAACCTTCGCGAGGAGCCGGTAAAGTTGATGACTTGCAAGTTATTTATTTATTTATTTTTTTGTGTGGATAAAGCACCACTATTGGTGTTGTAACGCTGGAAATGTTAAGATTCTAAAAGAGAAAAACGCTTTAGAAAACTTTGACCTCAACAACATTAAGAAATTAAAAAAATCTAGTTGAATATCGATATATGTTAAAAGATTTAGAAGTCATCAAAACACTATTATAAAAAGCATGAACACAAACATACCAACACACAATTTTCAAAAAAAGTACGCCACGATGTGCTGGGAGATGTGCACAAAATATGAATTTTTATATATTTATTATATGCTATATTCATGAATGTTTCATTCAAATGTAATAAAATAAATGTAAAAGGGCACTAATTCCGCAAATTTAAAGGAGGGATTAATAGGTATAAATTAACATTGTTTTCCTTATTATCATATCTAAAGTTATTTTGTTCAAACTTATAATGTGTTTCATCACGATTCACGTGTGTCTGAGCAATAGACACGTGTGTCAAGTGTTCAAAACATATCTAGGTCTAAAAAAAATTATAAAAATTAATAGGACATGGTTAGACTTGTGTCCGACACGTATAAAAAAAGTGTTTGACGAATATCGTTGTTCGACAAAGACATGCCACATGCTTCTTAGCTCATATGAACTCTTATATTAGAAGTCAATTTTGCACAACATTGTGATGAGTTTTATTGGGTAAAATGGCTCACATGTAGTCATTTATCATATGTGGACATACAAAGTGATGTCTAGATTATTCATTATTATTAGAATTCAGTACAACTGAGTTGACAACCACAATAATCTATAGTCAACTACCATCGCTCAACTACACCAAGTGGATACCATACTGTTTCTAGTTCATGACAAAGTATGCTCTAATGCATTCTTGTACCACCCATGCTGATAAATTTCACTGGTATGTTGACCAGTACACCTTGACTGGCGACTGGCATTCCCTTTGGTATGTGGCATTTTCAGTTTTAATCCATGATGCTCTTGCTTAACTGGTTTCATCTTAGAATGTAATTATTACGTAGTTAACACTTGAGAGAATGAATTCCTCCAACATGACACCCACAAAATGATTCTCCTATAGCTTTCATTCTTTTTATATGGGCAGTGATATATAGGTGGATGACTCTGCTCTTCCACCAATCCTAATGGAACCAAATTTAGGAAATCAATTTCATTAGAGAGAGATTCCCAAATTGGTAGAAAAAGCATTAAGCTCAGAATATGCAATTCTATTTGTCAAAAGTTCCGTTATTAGGATCCCAAAAACCTATTTATAGGCATGGGACAGACCACACATACTAGCATTACTTATTACTTATTAGGATAAAGTTTGTCATTTAACTTCCTTTTGGGCGTCAGGGAATTCTCTCTTTAAGGGGGTTTCACTTTTTTTGTTGGCTAGAAATTGGTTGTCAGTGTGTGATGTGTAGGCTTTGCTTGAGATGATTTTGTTTCAGTTACGTTCTTTGTATTTCTTTTTCCTTTTGTAAGAGGATGCCTTATCCTCACTCACTTTTTGATTTATCAATAAAATCTTTTGTTGTTGATCAAAACAAAAAAAAAAAGGGGGGGATGGGAACATCTTGATCACAGTTTTCTTCCATTTCTTCATGACTAAAGATGGAGATTTCATCATCATCACAACTTTGTACTATTACCTCACTAAAAAGTGCCTTATGTTGTCCATTATCAAAAGACTTTCTTACTAACACTAATAAAAAATAACTGATTGGGAAACTTTTATAGAATGGTGTCCAAATTTAGGGATGCCTTGGTATTGATGTCTGGACCTTGAAACACTCTTCCTTTGTCACGTTTCAACCAACAAAGGTTGTATGCAAGAATTGTTCCTCGAGCTTTTTCTTCATTTTCTCTCAGTTCCTTTGCCTACAAATTTTCAATTGTTTCCACCATTCAGAGGCTCTACTTTTGAAGCTTTGAGACACAAATTTCACCATCCTTCCATAACATCACAATATTTCAAAAGACTCTCAATACTATACTGTCCAAACATTCAACAAACACATCCAGAATATAACTTTCATGGAATTCAGGAAGTTCATCATCCTAGATGTCATTATTCCCTTTAGATTTAAATCTATTTGAATATGCTTGAAGCCAATGTGGAGCACTAAAAGGATTATCAAAATTGAATTTGATGATCCTTGGAACCATCACTATTATTGGTCAGAATTTGCAAACATTGCACTCTTCCAATCAAGGTTGCAACTTGTTTACTGAACTCTTCAATCTCAGTCCTTTGATTTTGGTTGCCATTGTTTTTTTTTCTGTTTGGAGGATTCATCTCAACTTCTTCCAAACTCACAGCAAAAGCTATACCTTGGCCTCCTCTTCTACCTTTGCCCGTTTAAGCCATTAGGCTAAGCACATGACACAGTGATATTGAATCAAGAGCAAAAAAATCTGCAAAATGCCCTCCAAAGTCAAACTACTAGTCTCAGTAGTAGCACACTTCAGACGATCAAGGAAATAGCCTAACACCTTAAATCTCCAATTGAACAAAAGAATCACAAAGAACACAACGTCGAGATTGAAAAAACCTTCACAAGACTCAAACAATGATTTGATTCAGATAGACTAGTCAATGCAAGAATAGAAGAATTCGAGCCAATCTAAGCTTCGATTCAATCTTCAAATTCAACTCAAAATGAATTGGAGTTGTTTGTTGATGTCAATACTCAATTAGAAGCCAATTGATGAGTTCAATCGATGAAACAGTCGCACATGTACGACTTAGTTCAAAAATATTTACACGAAAGTGATTCAATATGTTCAGCGGATCAGAGATTGCATTTGAGGCTGTGGATCAACTCGTGATTAAGGTTTATGACTTTGAAACAGTCCAGATAGGCTCGATTCAAAATTTCAAACAGGTTCAAAATTGCAACGAGACTCCCTCTAACAAGATTTGAACCAAAATTAGAACTCTCCAAGTCGATTGGAAGTATCCAATGCAAACTACAAATGAAAGAGAACATTTGGCGTGAATCAGAGACATTGCAAACCAATTTTAGTTTTGAATCCAAGTTTAATAATCTCATATCTCAACTACAAATCCAAGTTCTATCTCAAATAGCGACTTCAAATCTAGTAGGTGCTTAACTTTGGTCGATTGGAAGACATAGAGCTACTAAGCACATAATCTAGTATCTGGGGCTAACGAGCACAAAATTCAGTGTGATCTAGGCTAGTGACCATCACAAAACATTTCTAAGTGTCTCGCAATCAATTTTCAACTCAACTCTAAGATCGGCAACTAAGAATCCAGTAATGAAGTTGATATTTGATGGTTGATTGATTATCAAGGTCACAATGAAGTCTCAAGTCATTATTTAAGTTGCAATGAAGTCGAGTCAAGTTCAAATTGTTGTAACCAATCTAGATCAGTCAGTGAGTTCACAAGGTACGAATTCTTTCAAAGACCAAAGAATTCAAACTGGAGGCCATACAAATTCTGCGAAAAGGTTCTAAAGCTAGATCGACACAAGCAAAAGGAAAATTAGCACTCGTATTTCTACAAATTACAAATCAAGTCTAGTTATGACAACTTGACAAGCTGAGTGACTTCCCTCTCAATTCATTCAATCGATTCATGAAATGGAATCATGGAACAAAGAATATGGGCCTTGCTCTGATACCAAACAATGTAACCCAATTTATGAAATCAATATCATAACCAGCTTGGGGGGTAGGCAAATCTTAGATGAGGTGCTTGTGGCGAATGAGTGTGTGGACTCGCGGTTGTGGCAAGGGAAGGAGACGATTATTTGTAAATTAGACATTGAGAAGACATATGATAATGTGAATTGGCAGTTCTTGATGTACATGTTGGAGAGGTTGGGTTTTGGGAATAGGTGGTGGCGTTGGGTTCAGTTTTGCATTTCTACCGTGAGGATGTCGATCTTGGTTAATGGGTCCCCGACAGGTTTCTTTCCGACTCATCAAAGGTTGCGGCAATGTGATCCTTTTATCTCCTTTGTTGTTTATCCTAGTTATGGAGGCTTGGGACATTTGTTGGCAAGAGCGGTGCAAGGAGGTTTGTTGAAAGGGTTTGAGGTAGAGGTGGCCCCAGGGGCTGTGGAGGTGTCTCATTTGTTTTATGCAGATGACGCGCTCATGTAATGCAGAGGGCGTCCACATTAGGCATTTGAGATGTGTGTTGTTGTGCTTTGAGGCAGTGTTCGGGCTTTGGGGGCAAAATCAGAATTGATCCCAGTGGGGGAGGTGGCGAGATCTTTTATTTTGGCAGTTATCTTGGGGTGTAAAGTGGTTTCTTTGCCTGTCACGTATTTGGGCTTGCCTTTGGGGGCTTCATTTAAGGCGAAAGGGGTATGGGATAGGGTGGTGGATCAAGTGCAACGATGATTAGCAGCGGCAGTATTTGTCAAAGGGAGGGCGGCTTACATTGATTAGAGGGGGTTTGGGCGTTCGAAGGTTGGTCTTGTTCAATTTGGCCTTGTTAGGGAAGTGGTTGTGGCATTTTGCGGAGGAGAGGGAGCGACTTTGGAAGAGGGTGGTGGTTGCTAAGTTTGGTGTGGGAAGGGGGGAGTAGTGTTCGGGTAAGGTGGGTCATTCTTATGGTTATGGCTTATGGAAAGGGATTTGGTTTAGTCAGGAGGCGTTTTGGAGAAGGGTGAGGTTGAAAGTGGATGTGGGGGATAGAGTTTGTTTTTGACAGGATAGGTGGTGTGGTGACTTGCCTTTAGAGTTTTGATTCCCTTTGATCTTTGATATTGTTGCTGATTGTGAGGTGTTGGTTGGTGAAGTGAGGGTTGGGGAGGGGCAATTGATGGTGTGGAATGTGCAGTTGTGTCTCAATGTCCAGGATTGGGAGCAAGCTCAGCTGGTGGAACTTCTGGGTTTTTTATATGGTTTGCATCTTGGGAGGACAGGTCAGGATTCCTTGGTTTGGGATTATTCTAAGACCAAAGGTATTTTTACGGTGTCTTCTTTCTATGGGGCGCTTGTTCAAGATGTGTATGTTCATGATGTCGTTATGATTTATCCGTGGAAAGGTGTTTGGGTGCTGGGCTCGCCGTCCAAGGTTGCCTTTTTTGTTTGGACAACAAGCTTGGGCCGTATATTGACTATTGATAATTTGATTCGTTGTGGGCATATTTTGGTAAATTGGTGTTGTCTGTGCAGTGGGGCAACGGAGTCGGTTGACCATTTGCTTATTCATTGTCCGGTCTCTTCTCGTCTTTGGATGCTTGTGGTTGCAGATTTTGGTTTAGTTTGGGTTCAACCTGGTTCTGTGTTCGCAGTTGTGCAAAGTTGGGTAGGGGGGAGGGTTGGGAGGAGGCGTTGAAAGGTTTGGATTCTTGCTTCGCACTGCTTAATGTGGTTGATTTGGTTGGAGCATAATAGGCTGGTGTTTCAAGAGGTGGCTCACTCCATCCCTTGGTTAGAGAGGCGGCTTCTTACAGTTTTGTATAGTTGGGTGATAGGTTAGTAGATCCGGATGCAATGGCTTTTGTAGATTTTGTGGAGGATTTGATTTGGTAGTTTGCCCGGGCTTTTGAGGCCACTTTTGTATTCTTTGCATCATCTTGATGCTTTCTCAATAAAGTTTGGTTATTTATCAAAAAAAAATCATTGGAGATAGAAAAAAGCCTACAAAGGTGTCTTGGGGTGTGTCCAAACACAGGCAGCGTCCCCAATGTGTCCTACAAAAAGATAGTGATTTAAAAATTGGCATGCCATGTGGTGTATCGGACGGGTGGACACGCACGTGCCCTTGCCATGACAGAAACGGACACAAAACCCATCTTCAAATGTCGGTGTTTATTAGGAAACCATTATGAAATTTGTGGATGGCTCATGGAATAGTCTTGTAAGAAAACATAACATTGAAGGATAAAATTTTAATAATTTCTGACTGAAAAAATGCAGCCAATTTGAATGTTAGCAATTTGGTGAGCATCAGTTGTAAAGAAGATCAAAAATTAAAAACATAATGCACCTAATGTTTCTATTTGTGGTTAAATATTTTTTATTTTGTTGACCATGTTCAACAACTTGTTTGGCATTTTAAAACTTGATCAGTTTTGTAAGATTACTGAAATGCATTGAATTTATATTTTCTTATTTATTGTTTCAATCCTATTTCTGAAGCAGGTGGTATATATTAATGGTCGCCCTTTTGTTCTACGTGATGTGGAGAGGCCCTTCTCCAATCTTGAATATACGGTGTGTTATTGCAAAAACAATGTCATCCTTATAGGTTGCATGTATTTTTGAATATACATATATATGTATATTTTTAAATCTTGATGCTACTTTCAGCTTGCATTCCTCTTAACATCTCTATAAATAATAATATTACCTTTTCTTTTCTGGCTTGATTGCATAAATTAATATCTTTTTAGCCGTTGGATTGGATTGGGTTTTGGTTACGTTGGTTGTTTAATGGTTCCTTCATAAGTTTTGGAGTTGATTCAGAGAATACAGGAGTTTATCTTTTAATTTCTAGTGGTTGCTGGTTTTCTTAGACTGTACAATTTGTCAATGTAGCAACATGAACTTAAGGATGGGCTTATGTTAGAGCAAATGAACTGTTTAGATCAATTAACTAGTTTTCTTTCTATTTGTATTTCAATTTTATAATTGTAATCTTTTGTTTTTTTCTCTGATTTTTACAATTATAATCTAATTTGGACTCTTATGTAAGAAATGTAGTTTGATTGGGTTTTTGTGTGTTGTTATTGAACAGTCAAGGCCTTGTGGCATCTGCTTTTTAATTTTGAGTTATGTTAGATTTACAGTAGAAAGAAGAACTAAAGAATAGGAAGAGAGAGAAGACAACACCCAATATATTGCAAATGATTACCCATTAAGGGTGTTCCTCTTAGACAATTATACTTATATTAGAAGAACCAAAGTACGTAAATACTCCTCGGAATAAAATAAAGCATAACACTCCACCTCAAGTTGTTGCAAAGATATCTCTAATGCCAAACCTGCAAATGATAGAATGAAAACTAAGACCTTTGTGAATACATCAGCCAACTAATATTCAGACTTAAAAAAGGCAAACAAAACAAACCCTTATTCAACTTGTTCTTGATGAAGTGTGTTAATTTCAATATACTTGGTTCTATCATGCTAAACTGGATTATGAGCAATATTGTTGGTAGTTTTGTTGTCAGAATACAATGTCATGGGTTCACCACAACCAATTTTGATATCACCTAACAAGGACTAGAGCCACATAAACTCACATGTACCATGAGACATAATCTTGACTCTGCACTAGATCTTGCCACCATTTTGCTTCTTGCCATGCGAAGTGACTACATTCTCCCCTAGAAAGGTGCAGTACCTTGACGTAGTTCGTCTATCATCAACTAAACCTACCCAATATGCATTAGTAAGTGCCTTTGATCTCAAGTGCTCATAGTTGAGAGAACAAGATCCCTTTCCCAGGAAGAAGCCTCAAAATTTAATATATTACATCCAAATGCACTGGACAAGGATCATGTATAAACTCACTAACTACCCTCAATGCATATGCAATGTCTAGTCAAGTGTGGGACAAACAAATGAATCTTTCCACAAGTATTTAGTACCTCTCGTTATCTATGAGATCACCGACACCACTGCTAAGACTATGACTAGCTTCAATTGACGAATCTACTGGTCTACATACCAACATGCATGTTTCATGAAGAAGATAAAGAATATCCTTTCTCTATAGATATTTAATTTTGAGTTGAGTCACTCCCCTATATCATTGCCTGTCACCATTATGTCTTTGACATTCTCAATAAGAACAATTATCTTATTGTTGTCTCATTTGATGAAAATAGTATGTTCTGCGTTACTTTGCTTGTACCCACATCTCATCATATCCCTAAAGAACCTGTCAAACGAAGCTTTAGGAGACTATTTCAACCAGTAAAGAGCCTTCTTCAACCTACAAACCTTTCCAAAAGTGGATTGAGCTAAGAATCCTGGTGGCATATCTATATATATTTCTTCCTCCAAATCACCATGAAGAAATGTATTCTTCACATCTAGGTATTATAAGGATCAACGTAGATTTGTAATAGGATAAAGTAGAGCACGAATGTAATTCATTTTTTCCATAGGGGCAAAGATCTCCTGATAATCAATACCATAAGTCTGAGTCTCAATCGTCACTTCCACTTTCTACTCAATGGTGAATACCCACTTACAGCTCACTGGTTTCTTTCCATCATGAAGATAAACTAACTCCTACAAAAAGTTGCGGAACAATTTAAAAAAGCAGTATGACTTCTGGCATAGAGCAAGTTAGTTGAAAATTGTGAACATAAAAGACAGAGGAAAGAGAAATCAATGAAGAGCAGTGAATGGAACCCTTCCCAAATACAGAGGACAAAGAGCCATCATTTTAACAAGGCTATTTGAAGAGATGGACTATCCCCAAGAGTCCCAAACACAACTCAACATACTCTTATTGCTACCTTTGGGAGGCTTATTGCCTTTCGTCATGTTTACAAAGGGAATAGCATAGAAACACTACCACTTGATTGATTCAGCAACACACAATTCCAACAACTCAAAGAACCTGCAATAGCATAAAGACTTGAACCAAAAAGGGCTGAAAGCATTAAAACAACTCAAAGAAGTCTGAAATGAATGGAAACAAATCAGCAACTCAAAGAAAACAGGCCAGAAAACCACCCTCAATACCACACCCAAGCCAAGCAAAACAACAGTTGATCGAAGATCTCATAAAAAATAGGCATTTTTTTCGGGAAAATTAAACAAAATTTGGAAAAATGCATCTACTTGAGAAAAGTTCAAGAAAAAAACTAGGTAATACCCACCCCTAGTCAATCATACTGATTTTGATTTTGATTTTGATTTTGATTTTGATTTTGTTTTTGTTTTTGTTTTTGTTTTTGTTTTTGTTTTTGTTTTTATGACTACGCAAAAATACTAAAGACATGAAAAAGGAGTATAGTACTAGTAATGGGGTCTTCAAGGATGAAGATCAAGATTGGATACCTTTAGAAGCACAACACTGTTAAGAAGGTGACGTCTCTATGTCAGACACCTACACTCTTGGATACTCTCAAACACATGTTCAATGCTCTTTTTTCCGTGTCCATAATTAAAAGTAAAAATCATAATTTCACACCCGTGTCCAACACTCATCATGTCTATCACAAAAAAATAAACATAAGACCAACACTTCTTAGACATTTGTTAACACGTGATTTTCAAAGTTTAAGAAGTTTCACATAAATTTAAATCAAAAATAAAAAAAGATGCTAAAATGTATTAGTAGATGGCTTAAGATGATGAGGGAAATGTTGCAATTATATATGTTCATTATAGCTTGTCTGATTTTTGACTATTATGGTTCAGTAGTCTGGAAATTCATGTAAACATTCCCACTTTGTTGGAGTTTTCTATTTGATGTGTCTGTGTCATATCCATGTCTATGCTTTATAGCTGATACCATGTTAGATTCACAATGGACAGAATAAATAAATAAGAAGAGAGAGAAGAGAACACTCAGTGTATGCTTAATGATAGAATCCCATTCAGAATTAGGATTCTTTTCTTAGACACTTATATTATATTATAATATCCAAAGTACATAAATGTTGGAATGTGTCCCACATCGGCTGGAGTTAACCCATCTGTACTGGTTATGAGGCTCAAGTTTTCCTTTCCTGAATACCTGGGTTTTAAGGAGTAGTATGGGTTAGGCTTTTCAATTTGGTATCAGAGCTTAGTTGAGTTTGTGATTGTTGTGCCGTTTGTTCGGCTTTTGTATGTTGTGGTCTAGGAGGGTGTGTTGGAATGTGTCCCACATCGCCTGGAGTTGCCTCATCTGTACTGGTTATAAGGCTCTAGTTTCCCTTTTCTTAATACATGGGTTTTAAGGAGAAGTGTGGGCTCGGCTTTTCAATTATAAATACCCTTCAGATTAAAATAAAAATAACACATAATGAGTTAAAATTTAGCTAGCTTGTGCATCAGGAATATTTTATGATATTTAATGAATTTATAGAAATGGTTAAGCTTGAGGAGTGGTACTGTTTTGTAGTTAAGGCTTGGTTCCTATGGACTTCATCAAGATTCTAAATCCAGTTTAGTTACAAAATAATTTAGTTTTTTTCACTCTTTAACCATGTTTGGAATTTAATTTTGAATTTCTAATTTTCTTTTGTTCCTATTAACCAAGAAAAAAAGCAGTTTAACTTCTTTACATTTTTTGCTCCCAACTCTCTCTCTCTCTTTCTCTCTCTTTATTGATCAACATTTTTTTCATATTTCTTTTACGGCATCCACATTTGTGTCACACATTAATAGCTTTGTGTCTTTGGGGCCTCATCACTGGAGTCCGCATTAAACTTTTCTTCCTTGCTTCCAATTTCTAGTTTTAGCTTTTTCAACACTTATAACTTTTACATTAAATTAGGGTATCAACAGGGATCGGGTTGAACAAATGGAAGCTCGATTGAAAGAAGATATCCTACTGGAGGCTGCAAGGTACTTTCTTTGGCTGCAATTTGTTTTTCATTTCTAGTGTATTACACAGTGTTATTAAAAGCGCGCCTAGGCCCAAGGCACAATCAGTGCACTTCGGAGCATCTTAGGCCGGGCGATGTAAAACAAGCCCCATAAAGGCGCATGAAGCATGCTTCTTTTAAAAAATATTTGTTTATTACAATTGCAGCTCTTAATTTCACTTGATCACTTTTATATATTTATTTATTATTTTTTGTTTTGTGTATGGGATTAAACCCCTAAACATACATTGCTACCTAACACTTTTTGAGTCTTAATTATACAAAGACAGTGGCTAGATAAAGCTTTCTCTTCGACTAGACTAAGAGTTGTCATTCTTCTTCTTCTTCATCGCCACCTTATCCTTCTCTGTGCTTACCTTGTTCAACACTTTGACTTCGTTGTTGTTTCAATTGTTTAAGATTTATGAGTTTGATGTTTGTGTTATGTGAACCTTGCATTATTTATCTATGATAACATATTGGTGTTTGTTGGTATTTATGTTTTCATATATTTAATATTTCATTTTATTTTTGTCGAATCTTGAATTATTTGCTTATATTAAATTATCTATTTTTTATCGTTACTCATAAGCCTCACTTCGATGAAGCTCGCACCTCGCCTTGCACCTAAGCCCTAGGAAACCGTGGTGCTTTAGTGCGCCTATCACCTTTAATAACACTGGTATTACATTAATTGTATAATTGCCTTTACAATTGATGTTCTTGCTTTGCATGATAGCAAATTTTATTTGCACACCTGACTCAACAGATATGGAAATAAGATCCTTGTAACTGATGAACTTCCAGATGGTCAGATGGTGGATCAATGGGAACCGGTGACACGTGATTCTGTTAAAACACCACTCGAGGTATACCTATCTGTTACTTCAGTCATGAGGGTTGTGGAAACACAATTTACTCTACAGGTTCTTGTATTTATCTCAATTGTGTTTCTGCAAGCTAGGTGTATGAAGAATTGCAAGCAAAACGGTACCTTGTTGACTATGAACGTGTTCCTGTAACAGATGAGAAATCACCAAAGGAGCAGGATTTTGATATTTTGGTGAGTGTCCATGTTTTTGCTTTTGGTTTAATTTATGTCATTAGTTTTCAAAGAGACTTGCCATCTGATACTTCAGTGAAACCTGTTAACATGGTTCCTTGGGAAATGTAACTCATCCCATTTTATATGTATTACTTGTTAATCATTTGATGCATGACAGAGCTCCCATTATGTCATTCCTTGTTGGAAGTGTTAGCTACTTGTAGTGATGTCTTTTCATGCTTGTGTCTGCATGTGAGGTTTCGTTATACATGTTTGCTCTGCCCAAAAAAAAATATTCTGGAGGTTTGCTATATTGGCAGCTTCACTAAATGCCCATCCTCTTATTATGGTTGTAAAGACGTGACTATAAATACCCTTTAAAGGTTTTGATTTATATGAATGTCATTCCATGTTTGAGATAATAAGAAATGGAACATCATTTTGAATTCTCATTTTAGCATAAAAGGTGCCAATTGAGGCAGTGTGCTAATATCATTGTTGAATTGTTTTTAATGCATTTTCCAATCTGTGGAGAGTTGTGAGTTAGTGTCCTTTTAGCAATGTCTTAGAGGGAGGAAAAGATAAATTGAGTGTGCCAATTTCAGGAAATTAGTGCTTTTTCAATTTTTTTTGATAGACAAGGTACTTTGTCTTCCCCCTTGGGAGGTGCATGGGGTGGCAGCGTTAGTCATTAGTTGTTTCCTCAGATGGTAATAAGGGAACAACTGGCATTAGAAGGAACGTGTGTGCAATGCAGCTGGTCTAAGTCGGGTCAATTCTGGGCAGAGAGGAACCCAGGTGGGATTCTTCCAGTCTATAGCATTCCTTGAAAGAGCTTAGGCCCAGAGGGGTGGGTTGAACCAGCAGATTGTATTTTGGGCCTTTTTTTAGGAGTTATGAGGTAAAATAGAATGGATTGGCAGTTTCAGAAGGCTAATTGGGATCCAATTCCTATGCGAGCCACGGTTGGAAAAGGGAAACTATTTGCAGGTGAGTTCTAGTGGTGATCATAGGAAGCCCGAGGCAGATGAAAGGATCCAGGAAGGAAAGAACTAGAGCAAGACCCAGTGAATGGGTCACAGGGCCTTTTTTTTGGGTGAAAGGAGAGAGGGGTCTTGCGCCTTTCATGGGTAGGTGGAATTGAGGGAGGGGATAATCTAAATAGAAGAAGCTATCAGAAGTTGGTTCTCATGTTGGTTTGGTTTCTGAAGTGTCTGATGAAGACAAGGAGAGCTTGGGCAATGACAACTTCAAAGATCTAGCCTACCAGCACTTTGAGGTTAGTTCCTTCCATGATCTGGGGTATCTTTTGTTTAGGGGAGAAGGTGGTTGCAATCCCAACCAAATAGGTGGTTGTGAAGTTTCTTAGAATGGCTATTGGTTGTCTTAATTGCCTAAGTTGGTGGTTTTGTATGCTGTATTTTGTTAGAGTCCATTTAACTACTTATACTTTGGGAGGAGATGCTTCCTAACTGGTATTGCATGTGCCAGAGGGCTGAGGAAAATGTAAATCACCTTATGCTTCAAGTGAGGATGGTAGAAACCTTTGGTATGTGGTCTCTCCATATTAGGGATCCATAAGAAAGTAGCCCAATTACAATTTTTAATTTGATTAGTTTACACATTGTTGTGGTTGTTTCTGGATAAAGTTTACACTAGCATGGTTGGCCATCTGTTTTGTCTAATGGAGTATCTAGGGAAGAGGATAGATAAGGAATTTTGAGGATATTGGGATGCCTTGTCTATAGGTTGAGGAATTCTATGCTTTAACCTTCCACTTTGGATGGAATTCCTCAGGTCTTTTATCTCTTTTATTGATTTCTTAGATAACTAGTCCTTTATGGAGAGGACTTAGTATTGCATGATATTAATATACTTCCATCTACACTGAAATCTTTTATTTAGAAAAGCAAGTGTTTAAAGATGTTAGAATTCAAAGATTGAAGAATTTAAATATATAAAAAAAAAATAATGAATGGAAGACAAAAGCCCTATGCAACACCAAATATCTTAGGCACTTAAACCTAAGTAAAATGCCCAAAAAAAATTTATATTAACGGACTTTTTCAGACTTTTTTTTATTCTTTACTTACAAACAAAGTATTTATGTTTTTATTTGTAAACAATTCCCACTTGGAAGCTAGGGAAATATGGTGGCCAGGTAATCGCAGAAGCGAAGTGAGACTAAAGATTTGGACCTTGTTAAACTTACTAAGCCCATAAACATGACCCAAAATGACTAATTAAGCCTGTAAACAAAAAGCATTGAGTTCACCTTTGTAACAAAACTTTCATGTGTATCTATCCCAATCTTGGAACACTAAGTAATTGAAAAACTTTAAAACTTCATGAACCAAATCTTGAAAATTTTCTCAAATCTTAAAATCAAATCCAGTGGTATTATTCAGCTGGTCCTCTTCCCAAGCGTAATTATGTACGAGTTATAGAAACATATTGGTTCAGTTCTTGGATATATCCACATGATGTGCATTATATTGGCATGTGACTGTGGCACAAAGCTCTGATAGGACACTTTTATCACCTAAATGTTATATGAATTTGATTCATGGATTGTGTATCTGTGTACCATGTACATTTTGCACATATAAGATGCTTGGATTGTAGAACTTTTGTGTTGGATGTGGTTGTGGCATGTAGTCAGCATTTCTAATTTTCCTGTAAAAGATCTGCAGAGATGTCACTTGTTTCCTCTCTTTTTTCTTTTTTTCCTTCTTTTTAGGTTAATAAAATTTCTCAAGCTGATATAAACACAGAGATAATTTTTAATTGCCAAATGGGGCGTGGAAGAACTACAACTGGGATGGTGATTGCTACATTGGTCTATCTTAATCGAATTGGAGCATCTGGTAGTTGTTTTTGCTTTATGAATTCTCTTGTTTGCTTTATTATATTGTCTCATGATCTTATGTTGTTCATATGGTGTGGTGCTTGTCAAGTTTATGGCCTGTTCAATTCTGCTAGGATATTAACTGAACCTGCTCATGAGGATTTGTTCGCTGAGCCATACAATTATTTTTGCCTGTGAAAAGCCTTACGTCGAAAGCCTTGTTATGTGTAAAATAGTAGTTTCCATCTTATTTTCAGTGATGAGGTTAAGACTTTCAAAAAGAGTGGTTTTGTCAAGGCTTTTGATCAAAAGAGCAGATACTTGATAGACATGTTAAGGAATGGGACATGAAGCCAACTGAGACTCAAATGTGTCGAGGGAAAATGTGTTGCAGAGACTGAATATTATCAAAGGGTTTAAATTGAAAACTTGAAAATAAGAAACCAAATCGAAAGCTTAGATCAAACTTTTAATATGAGAGAGAGGTGACGTGTCTACACAAGCACCTCTTAAGCTCCTCCCTTTTTTCTTTTTCTATTTATCTTTTGAAATAGATATATAATGAATACACTTGGCAGCCTCTAAATAAGTAGAGCAAGGCACACACATGGGAGTTGTCAACCCACCCTCACCCTTGAGTCATCTCTTTTAAACTAAGAAGTGCATACACTTCTAAAAAAATGACGTGTATGTGTCGGACACCTGACACCGACACTCCTCAAACACTCTCGGACATGTGTCCGATGCTCTTTTTTCTATGTCCATAATTAAAAATAAAATTTTTAATTTTGAACACGTGTCCCACACTCATTTTCCAACGTGTCCATTTCTTGGCCATGTGTCACGGGTTGCCTTGCAAGGCTAACTCCGTGACGTTTCGCTCACGGTGGTGTGGCCATTTGAGTGCTCAAGAGTGGCCGTTGGAAGTGCCCCAACGTGGCCTAACATTGGCCCCAAGCAGCCCAAGGCATGTAGGCCACTAATAGCCAGCAAACGGTAAAGCCGCAGCCCATGTTAGTAGCCAACCAGTGCTGCCAGCAGCCAGCAATGGCAGCCAACAGTGCAGAATTTTGGCGCGTTGTTTGGACATTCAAACAAAGGAGTTTCGGGTTGAAATTTTTACTATAAAGATGTCTTCGGGGAAGTGTTTTCCCGACCAAGCTTCGTGATTTTTCTCAATTTGTGGAATTTATGAAAAATCATTATGACTCCTCGGACATATTGATGTTTCCTCCTGCCAGAAGGCAAATTGCTTAACAAGCATATATTAGGGGGCAAGGTGTGCTACCTACCTACCTACCTCTCCGCCCAAATTGGGCTTCAAGTGAGCAACCTTGGGGCAACTCAAGGGCGGGCTTTAGGCATCCAGAGGGGTGTCTAGAGTCACCATGTGAGAGGTTCACTATGTTGTTTCCATTATGCCACGTAATATGGCATCTTTGGGACTCATTTTGGACCGAATGGGCTATCGAGGCACCACTAAAGGCCTCGTGTGCCAACTCAAGTGCTTGGTTTGGGTTCAACCTTGCACGAGGGGATTCCGTGGCTTAAGCTAAGCGGTTGGAAGGCAACACCGCATATGTGGGTTATCGAATGAAGGCATCAAACTACGTATTGAGTAAGTCCATTGAGGGACTACATTATGCTACAAGCAAGCTACGGATTGAGACATTGCCTTACTCATGTTACACGTTGGTGCAACGCTAAGGTGCGCAATGGCCTTAGGCGGAATCTAACACACGTGTTGGCACGAGGATTACGCCGTGGGCGAGAGATTGACCCTTGGTGGCTTGTGGGTTTCGCATGACCAAGTGGCCATCCAATATGCATCTATTGAGGCATGCTTGACCCTACGACACTTCGAGATGCTATCAAAGACCCAACATGCAATGTTGGCTTGTCGGCTAAATTGAGGACCTTCGCTAGCACATTGTTGTGTGGCTAGGCACCTTGATGACATAAACCTAAGTTGGGCGAGCACCTTGCTTGAGGTAAGCTTGGCGCTATGAAGCGACTTATGCCGTGCTTGGTGCACTTAAGGCGTTAGGCCTAGTTGTGGCATCCGAGGGAAGACGGGACTTCCTTGTGAAGTTATTTTGCTTAACAAAGCATTGGGCCCTAATGTTCAAACGGGTGAGACCATCAACACTCGTGAGCTATGGTGGGCTTAAACTTGGTGGAGTTTGAGTGCCACACGGGCGAAAAATTGATCCGCTGCGCCTCTAAAGAAGTCGGCCCATGACACTATGTCTAGCTCTAAAAAATAAACGTGAGACCAACACTTCTTGGACATTTGCTAACTAATAATTTTTAAAGTGAGAATTTGATGTAAATATCTTTTCTTTTCTTTTTTTCTTTTCTTTTGATAAATTGATATAAATATCTCATACCCTTACAAATACATAATTATTAAGAATAATCCTATTGAAATTTCACTTAAAATAAAATGAAAAATAAAAAAGAGACGTAAATGTATTAGCAGGTGGCCTAGGAGGATGAGAGAAACTTTGCTATTATGTATGTTTGCAGTTTGTCTAATTTTGGATGCAGTTGTTTGAGCATGTGCGCCTTGCTTATATTAATTTGATTAGGATAAATTACTGTTTTTACTTTCTACAATGGTCCGGTAGTCTAAAAAATCATATAAGAGAATTAGAATTAAGATTTACTTAGTATAAAGTAATTATTTAAATTTTTACAAATTATGCACATATATAACTATCTAATATAACATATTCCTAGTAATATAATATCAAGATATAACTATTTGTGTTGTGTCCAAGTCGTGTCTATGTTTTTCTTTTTTGGAATTAGTTAGAATTGTATAATACAAATAAAGTGATGAGAAAAAGAGAAAGAGGGATGAGGAAGAGGAAAAAATCTGCATGGAAAGAGAGGTTTTCCCAAAATTAGGGTTTTTCTCTTAATCTCATGTATTTGTACTAATAAGAAGATAAATACAGAATTATCCCTCAACTCATAACTTAACACTACCCCTCAAGTTAGTGCATAGATGATAGATATCTCTTATGCTTAACTTGCACACAATGGGATGAAAAACCTTATTATTCAGCCCTTTAGTGAATACATAGATCTTTTGATTACAAATCACGCCACTATTCAGTTTCTCCTTGATAAAATGTTTGTCAATCTCTATATGTTTAATGTATCATGCTAAATTGGATTAGGAGCAATGTTAATAGCAGCCTTAGTATCACAATATAGTTTCATGGGTCTACTACTTAACAAACCTAAGTCAACTAATAAAACTTGAAGCCACATGAGCTCACAAATGCCATTCTCTATGGCCCGATATTCTACTTCTATTTCTATAGTCAACTTGACTACAACTGCTTGTTTCTTGCTTTGCCAAGTTACCAAATTCCCTCCTGCAAAAGTACAATAACATAAGGTAGACCTCCTATCATCAATTGCACTAACCCAATCTGCATCAATGAATACCTCCAACATCAAATGACTATTGGAGAACAAGCTCCCTTTTCCAGGTGTTGATTTGAGATACCTCATGATCCGATTAACTACATCCAAATGTCTCATGATCCGATTAACTACATCCAAATGTCTATTCAAGGGTCCTGCATAAATTGGCTTACAACACCAATTGCATATGCAATGTTTGGTCTAGTGTGAGAAAGGTATATTAATCTCCTACATGCCTCTACTATCTTCCCTTGTCCACATGATATTCATCACTACTGCGAAGTCTGTGATTGGCCTTTATGGGAGAATCCGCTGATCTACATCCCAACTATTTTCTCAAGTAGATCTAAGATATACTTCCATTGAGAAATAAAGATGCTCTTATCTGATCTAGCAATCTCAATCCCAAGAAAGTATCGTAAAGGACCAAGGTCTTTGATTTCAAATTCCTTAGAAAGTTAAGCTTTAATCTGAAGCATTTCCTCTACATCATTACTAGTCATTACTATGCCATCCACTAGATAAACATAGTGATCTAAGTGTAGTGATTTTATTTTCATGCCCTTTAATGAACATAGCATGATTACCATGGCTTTGCTTATGTTCAAACATCAGCATAACCTTAAGGAACCTGTCAAACCAAGCTTTAGGAGAATGTTTCAATCTGCATAGTGCCTTTTTTAACTCACAAACCTTTCCATCAGTGGTTGGAGAAGAGAACCCTAGAAGGCCATTCATATATACTTCTTCCAACATTCATATATACTTCTTCCAAATCACCATTAGCATCTGGCTGCTATAGTGGCTATCCCATATTTGCTACATAGGGAAGGACATGAATGGAATTCATTTTAGCCACCAAAGCAAAGGTCTCCTAATAGTCAATGCCATAAGTCTAAGTGAACCGTTTACCAGCTAGCCTCACCTTATATCTCTCAATAGTCCCATCAGCTCTTTGTTTAATAGTGAACACCCATTTCCAACCTACAACCCTTTTTCCCAATGGTAGAGAAACTGACTTCCAAGTGTCATTCTTACTTAAAGCTGTCATCTCCTCTATCCTAGCTTTTTTCGACCTAGGATTATTAATTGCTTCATTCCAACCCTACAGAATAGGTACAGAGGACAAAGACAAAACAAAGGCACGGTATGACGGAGATAAGGAGTCATAGGACACAAATTTAGATACAGGATGTTAAGCGAGAGTTCCAACACCTTTCCTAATAGCAATAGGAAGTCTATCATCCACTATATGAACATCCCCAACAGGAACATCATTAGTAGTGTAGTAGTAGTAGTAGTAGTAGTAGCCAAAGACTCATTACTTGAAGACTCCATAGAAGGATATGCAATTGGGGCCGAAGATGGTGGCAGCAAATTGGTTGATTGTTCTTTATCGCCGCAAGTAAGTCTTGAGATCTAACCTATCCAACCTACTAGACTCCCCCTGAACACACTTATCTTTCTCCCCCTTACAACATGTCTCCTCCCCCCACCACAAATAGTGGGAAAAAACATGAATCTGGGCAAACCATCTTTTCCTTAGTAAAAACCTTCCCTTGAAGTGAATAAGGGCTCAAACTCACAAAAGATAACATCCATAATAACATAAACCTTGCAAGAGTGAGGATCGTAAGACTTATACCCTTTATGAGTAGAAGAGTAACCAATAAAGATACACTGCAGAGCCTTGGGATATAGTTTGCTGCATGTGGGATGAGAATTATGAATAAAGCAAACACAAGCAAACACCTTGGAGGAGAGAGAGATAGGGAGGACAAAATTGTGTGGAAGAAGGTCAAGATGGCGTTTAAACTGGAGTACACTAGAAGGCATACATTTAATAAGATATGTAGTAGTAAGGATCGCATCACCCCAAAATGGTTTAGGAACCTTCATCATGAACATCAGAGAAAAAGCAACCTCAAGAAGATGACGCTGTTTTGCATTCGATGGCAACATTTTGTTCAAAAGTACCAACACAATTGGTTTGATAAAGAATACCATCCTCTTTGAGATTTGCCTAAAACTCATCATCAATGTGTTCAATGTCATTATCACTCCAAAGGACTTTAATGGGGGTGGCAAACTGATTAAGCACTATTTTATGAAATGTCTTAAAGCAAGAAAAACTTCACTTTTGGTCTAAAGCAAATACACCCAAGTAACACAGGAATAACAAGCAATAAAAGTGACAAACCAACAATAATTAGCAATAGACAGAACACAAGAGGGACCCCATACATAAGAATGAATAACCATAAAAGGAAAAATGATTCTTTATTAACTAAAAGATAACAAGAGTGTTTATGTTTCACAAACTCACAAACATCACAATGAACATTATTCCTACAACAATCCTCCATTGAACTAGGGAAAAGTTTGTCTAAAACAAAAATGGAGGGATGCCCTAAACTCTTTATGCCACTGATGTAAAAGTTACGGAACAGTTTAAGGAAGAAAGTAGGGATGTAATCAATCTGGCACAGTCAGTATTTAGGTAAAATTTTTAACCAAACCGATAATGTCAGTTTTATTATTTTGAGCACCGACACAAGCTACTTCTTCCATCAAACCGCACCAAATTGAACCGATTAAAATACTTTGGTTTGGTGCGGTTTAATCAGCTTAGGACCTTCAAACTTGAGCCACTTTTTAGTATAGTCACTAATCTATGTAAAAACATTGAATTAGTTATTTGTCCACCACTTCAAACATATCTAATCCATCCATTTAATAAATACTTTTCGATTCCTAGATTAACAAAAATACAAATAAAAAAAAGTAAAAAAATATTAAGGTTTCAAGAATAATGAGTTAGAGTTAAGATTATATATAATAAGAGTTTACAAACTTAGGTTATAGATATGATAAAGTTAATTAATTAAGGTTAATGATTTATTATACTTGTTAATATCATTATATTATTAGATCATATATATATATATATATCTATATATATATATTATAAATACAATATATGTTGAAGCGGTCGGTTTCGGTTTAGTTCGGTGCACAAAATGCTTAAACCAATACCGAACCAAAAATCAAAAAAAATTAAATTAAAAAATCGCACAGACCAATTCTTGTTAAAAAACAAACCAAATATAGTTATTTCGGTCTGGTTTTTCTTACATCCCTAGAAGAAATGGAATTTGGCCCCTTTCTTTTTCTTTTGTGATGGACAAATCACTTCTTATTGGAATCCTATCTTTTGTATTTTGTTTTTTTTTTTTCAATTTTACTATCTGATTTCTTATTATAATTTAATATAGATTTCTAGAATACATTTCTATCTCTATATAAAATAAAATATTCCTGAATAATAGGTTTCTATGTCAATATATTTTATGTATCTATATAATAGAAATACACATAAATAAACTTTAAGAAAGATTCATAAAATTATCAAAAGTTTGTTCTCTATAGAATTAGAAGAATTGCATCGTTATATGTAAACTTTAAAGACTCATATAAAAGTTGGATTTCTAAATACGAAACCTGCTTTTGACTTCTAAAACCCATCTAAACACGAATAAGACCCATGCAAAACCAACTACATAACTTGACCCATGGCATGGATTTGCCAAAAATAGAGCGAGAACAACTTAATGAACAATTCTGCCTTGGAGGACTGAAGATTTTTGTATGATCACTTTAAACATAGTAAATTGACTCCTGATGGAAAAGTGACTCTTTGATGCTAGTCTTGAATACTGAAATAGAAGACAGATTGAAAGAAAAAAAATGTTGACATTGAAGATTGCTTAGTGGATGACTACAGAGACATTGGAGGTGCACTAAATGTTCTATCTAAGGGATCATTATCAAGATTAAGGGGTCCATCTCACTCATATTCTTTTCCAATGATCTTCTTTGTATCAAGAAGTTTATCCATTTTTTGGTCAAGAATTACCAATTACATGAATTGAATTACAACAAATTCATCAAATGTGGAAGAACAATCTAAAATTACAATGCTAGATTGTATTTTATTCTTATTTAATTTTTTGATAAGTTGGAAGATGGTTTTGGAGGGAGAGCAAAATGTGGTAAAGCTGAAGGATGCTCGTCAAATAGGATGCCTAGCTAATCAGCACGAGAGTAATGAGAGTTATCTGCTCAGTGAGTGTTAGATTCATAGACCAGAATATTGTTGAAAACCATGACTCAAGCAGTTTCCATCTACCATGAGGAGAGCTCATTGGACTGTCTACATCACTGTAGAAGCTTGAAGTGCTATAGGAGGTCTTCATCGGCATCAAATAAGTGCTATGGAAGAGCTTCTTCAGCAAGAAGGCGGCTTTGGACAAGGCGAAGACCAAGTCAAGACATGGCTAAATAAAGCCTAAGTTTTTCATCTTGGTCACTATGTTGTGGAGCATGGTCGACCATAGGAAGGTCTAGAAAAACAACCTGTCAACACCTTACAGTATGGTCGACTATCCTGGAGGATATGTGGTCGACCATGGTGGAAGTCCACCTTACAATATAAGTGGATGTGGTCAATCAGAGTTTGATGGTCGACCACATCATATGGTCAACCATGCCTGGGCAAAATTAAATAGCCATTGAATGCTAGTTCTATAAATACCAAATGCCCCTATTTGGTAGAAATCTGATGAGAAATAAGCTAAGTGAGAGCCTATACACCCTCGAAACTCTCTCAGGCACATCTCATAGATGATTTCATCCATGTGTGAGAGAGAGAAAGTTTGAGGTATCTTCATACAACCTTGGTTGGAGAGCTTACTCCCATTGGAGCCTTGGAGTTCTCATCTTGAATGTATTTCTTCTCACCTAAGTGTAATACATTGTGTATACACTTGAGCCATCACAAACCTAAGGTCACATTGTGACACTAAGAGGCTACCAGTAAGCTTGTTGTACAAATGTTTGATTAGGATTGTGCTTGGTGGTTGTTGATTTTGGGTTGAGCCAAAAAAACCATATTACTTGTATTTGTTTGTTGATGTAAAGGTTTTAGGTTGTCCGAGGGAAAACCTATTGGTGTAAAGGTTTTGGGTTAACCTAGGGAAAACCCATTTGACTTGGTGGAGAACGCCAACATGGTAGACTGGTAGTGGACGTAGGCATAAGGGTGTGCCGAACCACTATAATTATTGGTGTTCGTCTCTTTACAATACTTGCACTTTAATTTATATACTTCTGATGGTTGATATGAATGCATAAATGGATGCATATGTTAATCTTGATTGAATGACCAAAAGAGTATTGATTAGATTTAACATATGAATGCAGATACCTAGTTGGTTTAACATTTGAATGAATGTGCCTTGATTGTAATACTTGATGATTGTCATTTAAAAGAGGAAAGCAGAACACCACCATGGTTAAAAGATTGGCCTTGGAACAAAAAGGTAAATACTTCGTAGTGACCAACCCAACACAATTGATGAAGGCAATTAACAAGTAAAATTTGGGGTTAGGACTAAAAAGGAAAAAAGATTAGGAGTGTCTTATTCACAATTATCTTTGCTAATTTTCTATTTAGTCTAGAGGAACCACCATTTTAAATTTCTCTTCCTCTTTGCTTCTCTAGTGTACCATATATTATCTGATGTATGCGTGAAATAGGTATTCCAAGGACCAATTCAATCGGGAAAGTTTCTAACTCAGGTTCCAGTGTTACCGATATTTTTCCAAATTCAGAGGAGGCAATTCGCAGGGGAGAATATGCAGTCATTAGAAGCTTGATTCGGGTTTTAGAGGTAGTTGAAAGTAGCTTGATTTGGGTTCTATTACTTACATTGCTTTAATTTCTACAAGTAGATGGTTTGTGAATTTTGTATTGCTTGTGATATACCTGTAGGGCGGTGTTGAAGGCAAAAGACAAGTGGATAAGGTCATCGATAAATGTGCCTCCATGCAGGTATAGCTATCTATATGGTTCGTTACTCAGTTGTAGCTTCTAGGATCTTGTTGTTCTTGTCATGAAAGTTTATCTGATATAAATCCCAGAAGATGGGGCCACGACATTCACTTTATTGTGCCCATTTGTTGCTGCCTCTTGAAGCTTGTACTCTCGCTTATTAACAACAGTGTCTCATTACCTCATGTCCTTGAGGTTTATAGTTTCATATTTAATCTTAGACCTTCATGGCTTTTAATGCATTTGTTGTCGCTCAAGTTACAGAATTTACGTGAAGCCATTGCCACTTATCGCAATAGAATTTTGCATCAACCAGATGAGATGAAGAGGGAGGCATCACTTTCTTTTTTTGTGGAGTACTTGGAAAGATATTACTTCCTTATATGTTTTGCTGTATACCTCCATACAAAGAGAGCAGCACTCCACCCTAGATCCCCTGATCAAAGCAGTTTTGCTGACTGGATGAAAGCCAGGCCAGAACTGTATAGCATAATACGCAGGTAAACATTCTAGTATTTGTTATATGATAAATGCTGTCCAGTTTCATTTTTCAGTCCATCAAGCATCAGGTAAAAGTTAGATCACCCTTCTTAGTTTGGATTGTAATGCTAGAAATATTTATGAGCACATGTTTATGTCACAATTGTGCCTCGCTGCAGGTTGCTTAGGAGAGACCCAATGGGAGCACTTGGTTATGCAAATGCAAATGCAAATGCAAAATCGAAAATAACGAGAATTGTTGAATCTGCTGATGGGCGCCCTTGCGAGATGAGTGTAGTTGCTGCCTTGAGAAACGGGGAGGTTCTCGGAAGTCAAACTGTTCTCAAGAGTGACCATTGTCCTGGGTGTCAAAACCCTAACTTACCAGAAAGAGTGGAGGGTGCCCCTAATTTTAGAGAAATTCCTGGGTTTCCAGTTTATGGTGTTGCAAATCCAACAATTGATGGAATTAGATCTGTCATTCAGAGGATAGGCAGCTCTAAAGGTGGTCGGCCAGTTTTTTGGCACAACATGCGAGAAGAACCTGTTATCTACATCAATGGAAAGCCATTTGTGCTTCGTGAGGTTGAAAGACCATATAAAAACATGCTAGAGTACACGGTACACCTATTGTCACCTTGTATTTCATTTTCGCAAAACTGGGGTGTGGAAGTGTATATCGCTCAGATCAAGGAATAAATTTTTATTTTATTTCTATTGAAATGGTCAAAACGATTCCATTTCTTAGGAAAATGAAACGAAAGATTAATTTAATACCAAAATTTTTATGTTTCCACCCAAAACACACAGAAATGCATCGAAACAATGTGAAGCTTACCAAAACAATGAGTTACTTCAAATCCTACTAGTATCTGCCAAATGTCATTTCTATTTGCTCTTTTTGTCAAAAGAAAAGACTTGAGGAAGAAAAATATTAAATTATTAGAGAATGTGAGAAATTGGGAAGGAAAATAGGAGATATAGAGAGAAGGTAAAAAAAGCATTATTCGGTTATTTTCTTTCTTTATTACAAAAGTACCTTTTGTATAAAGATTGTCACTTGTGCTAGGATTGTTTACAGGTCGGATCAATTTGGTTTTGCCAACCACCCATCACCTGAATCTAGTACTTACAGTTGGAGAACATCTCAACCAATTATGAAAGAACAATGGTTCAAAACCCGATCATTTTTTGCGGCAAAAAACCTGTTTGGCTTGCAACAAAGGTCCATTCTTCAAGGCACATCAACACAACAGTTCTCAATGTAGAGGGGTTTGGGTGGAGTTGATAAGAGAATGGTTGCGGAAGAGGAAGTTCAGAGGGGGGATGAGGGTTTCCGGGGAGGAAGATCTGAGGGGGAGGGGTTGAGGGTTGAGGGAGATGGAGATCATGGGGTTTTGGGGAAGGAAATCAAAGGGTTTTAGGGATTGAGGGAGAGGAGGTGAGGTGAGGTGAGGTGAGGTGAGGCAAATCGCCATTGCCACAATCTAAGCGTCATCACCAATACCAAAGTCTCAGCTCCATTGCTGTCGCTGCCATCTCATCGCCTCAAATGAATGAGAGAGAGAGAGAGGATATACAGAAAGTGAGGAGATTAGGGTAAGACTTGACAGGGAGTTACAGAGAGATGAGAGAGAAAGGTAGGCAGAGAATGAGGGATTTGAGCAAAGGCCAGATCGTGAGGGAAGGAGGTGAGGGGTGAGAAACTGTAAAGAGAGATATTTAGATATGGCTGAGAGATAGGTGATTGTCGTGATAGAGTGTAATCCGGTAGAGCCAATAAGCAATTGATGCATGTAGGATAAGAATTAATTTTAAGTATACTCGGGTGGTTGTACGGATTTTTTTGCACCAAATATGACACCCGACCATATCCCCACCAAAACTAAACTCTTATACCCATAGTCAACCAACTCACTCTTCAAAACTGCCTATTAGGAAATGGGTTGGATGAATTATGAACAATCTTAACTAGATTGTGCATCAACATGTTCAATTATGTAATTATTGAGAATGCATTAAAATTTATGTAGGTTTTAGTTTTTGTCAAATTATGTTTCATATTGTTTCCAAATTCTTTTGTCATTTCCCTAATATTTCTGAAACATTTCCAAAATGTTTCCAAAACATTTTTGTTTCCAAGATGATCATAATAACACACTGAAGCAAAATTTTGATCCTTGACTCATATGTTAATTTTGTTGCTATACCTTACACGCCAATTAAGGATGGTGGGCATTGTAGGATGAGATGGTGGGACCTAAAAGGAGATAAACTAAAAATATTTAAGAATAGAATGGATAAGGAAGGTTCTTGGGACTTGGAAGATGATGCTAATGCTATGTGAAACTCGACGGCTAATTGTATGAGGAGAATCTCAAAGGAAGTGCTTGGAGAGTCGAAAGGGACGAGACCCAGCTCTAGGGAAACTTGATGGTGGAGGGAAGAGGTTCAAGCGGTAGTTAAGACAAAAAAAGAGTGCTTTAAAAAGTGGCAGAAGGATAGAACTGAGGAAAACCTTAAGAGCTATAGATTGGCTAATAAGGAGGTCAAAAAAGCAGTGAGTGAGGCGAAGTTGAAAGCTTATGATGACCTATACACTAGACTGGATAGTAAAGAAGGAGAGAAGAGGGTATACAAACTTGCTAAGATACGAGAGAGAAAAACAAGAGATTTTAATCAAGTTAAGTGTATCAAGAGTGAGGATTCTAAGGTATTGGTGAAGGATGAAGAGATTAAGGAAAGATGGAAGAACTATTTTGAGAAACTATTAAATGAGGAACATGGAGGTACGACAATAGGGGGAGAAATGGCCAGTAATACGATAAACCAAGACTATAGGTTTTATCCAGGATTAGGAACTTTGAAGTAGAGATTGCACTTAAGAAGATGAAATGAAATAAGGCTTTAGGACCCGATGATATCCCTATTGAAGCTCGGAAGTGTTTGGATAAAAGAGGGGGGGGGGGGTTGCTTGATTGACTAGGTTGTTTAGCAAAATTTTGTTGACTAGGAACATGCCAAATGAGTGGAGGAAGAGTATTTTAGTGCCAATATATAAGAATAAAGGAGATGTCCAGAATTGCAACAACTATAGAGGAATCAAGTTAATGTGTCATACAATGAAAGTGTGGGAGAGGGTGATGGAACGCCGATTGCGATATATAACAGAGGTATTAGAGAATCAATTTGGATTTATGCCTGGTAGGTCAACAATGGAAGCGATTTATCCTTTGAGGAGAGTAATAGAAAAGTATAGAGAAAAGAAAAGAGGCATTCATATAGTGTTTATCGACCTTGAGAAAGCATATGATAGAGTGCCCCGAGATATACTATGGTGGGTGTTAGAGAAGAAAGGGGTGACAAAAGGTTACATTGATGTGATTAGGAACATGTACGAAGGGGTGGTGACCACTATTAGATCGCCTACTGGAGAGACAAATGAATTTCCTATCACTGTTGGGTTACACCAAGTATCTACCTTAAGCCCTTATCTTTTTGCTTTAGTTATGGATGAGTTGACGAGAAATATTCAAGATGACGTGCTATGGTGTATGCTTTTTGCAGACGATATCGTGCTAATGGATGAAACTAGAGAAGGAGTTGACACAAAGTTGGAGATTTGGAGAAAAACTCTTGAATCGAAAGTATTCTGGATAAGTAAAACTAAGACAGAGTATAGGGAGTGTAAATTTAGTAACAGTAACAATGAAAGCAGAAGAGAAGTGAAGATTGAGAACCAAGAACTGTCTAAGAGTGAACATTTTCATTATTTAGGGTCAATTATCTCAACAGCGGCGGAGATTGATGCAGATGTGGCCCATAAGATTAAGCGAGATGGTATAAGTGGAAAAGTGCGTCTGGGGTACTGTGCGATAAACAAATACCCACTAGACTAAAAGGTAAGTTCTATAGAATGGCTATTAGACCAGCGATATTGTATGGGACGGAGTGTTGGGCAACCAAGAAACAACATGTAGATAAGATGAGTGTGGCAGAGATGAGGATGCTAAGGTGGATGTGTGGCAAGACTAGACAAGACAGAATTAGGAATGAGTGTATTCGGGAATGGGTAGGAGTAGCACTGATAGAAGATAAGTTGAGAGATAATCGATTGAGATGGTTTGGTCACATTCAACGGAGACCAACAGAGGCAGTAGTGAAGAGAGGCGATGCTGTAACGGTAGAAGGGAGTGTTAGGGGACGAGATAGGCCTAGATTAACATTGGCTAACGTTGTAAATAGAGATATGGATCTACTTAATTTGACCAACGAAATTGCCTTCGATAGGGCCGTGTGGAGAAGAAAGATTCATGTAGCCGACCCCATTTGATGGGACTCAAGGCTTGGTTTGGTTTGGTTTTACCTTACATGCCAATTCCATTTTGATTTGATGACACAACTGTGATTTTGGAAGAATTGTTGAATGTGCCAAATATTAATTAAACCAAACTAAGCCGTGTGTCCCAATCAAGTGAGGTCAACTACATGAATCATTTTTCGCCATTCAGCTCTATTAAAGGCTGCCTACTCAGTTAAATTTAAAATATATGTATCAGTTTTTTTCATTAGATCCCATGTCAGCTTAGGTCTTCCCTTGCCCCCAACATCTCCATTTATGGTGATCATATCACTCTTTCTTACTTTCCTACCATTGCATGTATAGGTCTTCAGTGTATATGATCAAACCATCTTAGCATATTCTCTCTCAACGTATTTTCCAATAGGTGCTACTTCTACTATTTCACGAATATATTAATTTCTAATTCTATCTTTTCTAGTCTTAATTAATTCCTCCACAAAATGAAAACAATTTATAGTCTTTCAATTAGCTCTTCACAGAATCCTGTCTTAAAATGAAGAATGATATCTAAACTAGCAGTTTGGTGCATGATGCTAGAGGACCATATATCTATTTGCTTGTATCTTTATCTCAATGCTTAGATATTATTTTCCTTCAGTTCTTTTTATTTGTCATGTGGACCATACTGGTAAAAGCTAAATAATATGATTTTTGTATTTAGGGAATTGATCGTGAAAGAGTACAAAGAATGGAAGCTCGACTGAAAGAAGATATTCTGCGAGAAGCTGAACGCTATGGAGGTGCTATAATGGTTATACATGAAACTGATGATAGGCAGATATTTGATGCTTGGGAGCATGTGAGCTCTGATGTAATTCAGACCCCCTTGGAGGTTTTCAGATGCTTAGAGTCTAAGGGTTTTCCTGTCAAGTATGCCCGTGTTCCTATCACTGATGGTAAAGCTCCCAAAAGTTCTGACTTTGACACTTTGGCTATGAATATTGCTTCAGCACCCAAGGATACTGCTTTTGTTTTCAACTGCCAGGTAAAACTTTTAATTTGTTGTAGATTGTTGCACTTTGGTGTGACCATAAATTTATTTGTTTCCATGTGAAATAGTCTATCCTTTCTTTCTTTTCTTCCCTTCATGCTAGTTAATTTCACAGATGGGTAGAGGAAGGACAACCACCGGTACTGTAATTGCTTGCCTTCTTAAACTGCGAATTGATTATGGGAGACCCATTAGAATCCTGCTTGATGATACAGCCCATGAGGAGGTGGATGGTGGTACATCGAGTGGTGAAGAAACTGGTGGTCACAGTGCTTCATTTACCTCTGTTTCTACTAAAGGTAGACATAGAAAAGAGCCAAGTCATGCATTTGGGATAAATGACATCTTATTGTTGTGGAAGATAACACGATTATTTGATAATGGAGTGGAATGCCGGGAGGCCTTGGATGTTATTATTGATAGATGTTCGGCTCTCCAGAATATTCGCCAAGCTGTCTTGCAATACAGAAAACGATTCAATCAGCAACATGTTGAGCCGAGGGAAAGGAGACTGGCACTGAACCGCGGAGCAGAGTACTTGGAGCGTTATTTTCGTTTAATTGCTTTTGCAGCATATCTTGGAAGTGAAGCTTTTGATGGGTTTTGTGGACAAGGTGAATCCAGAATGACATTCAAGAATTGGTTGTATCAGAGACCAGAGGTCCAAGCAATGAAATGGAGCATAAGACTAAGGCCTGGGCGATTCTTTACAGTCCCTGTAAATCGTCTTTCACAAAACATGCTGTTCCTTGAGGTTGGGTTTTTCTATTTAACTTCAATCTGATTGGATGTCTTATGTCCAGGAGGAGTTAAGAGCACCACATGAATCTCAACATGGAGATGCAGTAATGGAGGCCATTGTGAAGACTCGTAATGGTTCAGTTCTGGGGAAAGGCTCTATACTTAAGATGTACTTCTTTCCCGGCCAAAGAACTTCCAGCAACATTCAGATTCATGGTGCACCACATGTTTACAAGGTATGATGGAAACCAAATAAACTTTAAAATCTAACCGTGAGTCCTAATGTTAATACTTAATGCCATGTTAGCCTTGCTGGGTTGACGAGGATGGGAGCTGGCAGACTAATAAAGCATGCATGCTTGGATTTAGCGTTTCGTAGTATGTCTTATAATTTAAGTTCTTTTGGTAGTTAATGATGTTTGTATGGCAGGCATCATTTACTGTTTGAAGACTATAATTGAGCTAAAGTTATCTAAAACTTATCCATTTCAATACCTAAATATGTGGTGGGACAGCTGAGGGACATTCTTATATAGCCAGAATGTAGGTTTAATATAGCTTTGTGATTGATAGGGCATTTAATTTAGCTTACTAGGTAAAAGTAAAAATGTGACACATGGATACGACACATTCTTAAAAGTATGTGTCTGCGCTTTTAAGAATATATTATTTACAAGAGAATAAGACCATTACTCTTGTGACTTTTAATTTTTGAACAACACTAATCTTAGCCATACAACTCCACTGAAGCCGAAGAAGTAGTAAAATATATTAAAATCGATCTTAATAGCTACCACAAAAGCATGAAGGGTGATGTGCTACAGTAACATGAATAATATCATATTAAGAAGGAAATAAAGATGTGTACCCAACTTACACGCAAGCTAAGAACTACGAAATCCTGTCACTATCACCTGGAAGGAAGTGTGCCAAAAACACTTCAATTTATGAATTGGCTTCTCATCATGCAAAATAGAGCAGCATTCAAGATCATCTTCTTTTCTTGAGAATCCTACTCCCTCTCAACCTAAGGGTAAACCGGTCATAGTCACTAACGACATCCTGTAAAAACCCAAAGAAGATACCATACCTCCTCACCAGCTTGGGATGAGCAAGTAAAATGATTAACTACCAATCAATAATATCGCCACAGTGACTTCACTTCAAATGTTTCTCCTACTTCAAACTTCTCGGTATAAAGGAAAACGCATGAAGTGTCAAGTAAATGTTTGACTACTACATGTGATTGGATACCACGGTGACTTCACTTCTAATGTTTCTCTTACTTCAAACTCATTGGTATAAAGGAAAACACATGAAGCATCGAGAAAATGTTTGAATACTACATGTGATTGGATATCATCAAGTTCCACAGGGCTTAGCTATTAACAATTATGGACTGACAATCAGTTCCTTGAAAAATCACACTTACAATTTTCATCAAACACTAGACAAACATCCCAATCTTCAAGAACCTCATAGCATGGCTGTGAAAAGTTGTCTCAAAGACATTGCAAGAATTGTCATAAAAAAATTGTTGAATCAAGAATCAATGTTCAGTGTTATTAAAGGCGATAGGCGCACCAAGGTGCCATGGTCTTCTGAGGCTTAGGCGCAAGGCGCAAGGAGAGGCGCAGGCTTCACTAAAGTGAGGCGCACCTTGTACGTAAAAAAATATATAATTTAACAAAAGTAAATAATTTAAAATTCAACATAAGCAAAATGAAATGTTAAAACATTTAAAAATATAAATACCAACAAACACTACTATTTTAACATAAACAAATGAACAAAATTTCAAAATTTAGCATAAAACATGAATAAAAAAGAGAGGAGAAGAAGAATAAGAAGGGGGGGGGGGCGGGGTTGGGGGGGGGGTTGAAGTCTAAAGAATGACGTGAAAGAAAAGGAGACCAAAGAATAAGCATAAGAAGATGGAAGAAAAGAAGATAGCAACGTAGAGAATAGATGTAGAGAAGACAACAACGTAGAGAAGATGAGACAGAAACGTAAGAAGAGAAGAAGAAGAATACAACAACATGAAAAAGAATTTTTGGAGCTGTTGAATTGGATAATGAAGGCATGCATCAATGAAGTGTTCTTCAGAGATTAGGAATTAGGGCTAATTTTTCTTCTATTGTTGATTTGGGGTTGAATGGCCAATGTATTGGCATATGTAACAAGAGTAGGGATCTTTTGTAGCTACACCATATTAAATCAATAGTCAAATTTTAAACAAAATCAATTAAAACAACAATAAAAAAAAAAAGCTCTCAAGACACAAGCCTTGGGCCTTACTATGCCTTGAACCAATTGTGCACCTTATCGAAGTCGCCTGGCTTGAAACACTACAAGGCGCAAACCTTAGGCCTGGATGGGACTTGGGCCAAAGCGCACGCATAAGCGCGCCTTATCGAAGTCGCCTGGCCTGGAGCACTAGAAGGTGCAAACCTTGGACCAGGATGGGACTTGGGCCTAGACGCACCTTTAATAACACAATATCCGAAATTTTCCTCATCAAGACTACCTTTAGCTATGGCTAAAATTTTGAACTTGCATTTTTGTATATCTCCGCATGGACTTTAATTTGTTGCTTATTTATATGATGATCAACTTTTGGGCTAAGTTTTTATTCGGACTTCTGGTTTTATTCATGACTCAAAGTGGTGAACTGTCTTCAAGTTTAATACTGAGGTAATCAGTAGAATGAGATAACAAAACCATCATTTGATGTCTTGAGGCCAATGTTTCTGTGGGGGAACAAAGGAAAAGCCTCCTGCAGGAATACTGGTTAAGCAAGCCTAATGTTTTCTGAAAGAACAAACCAACTGAAGGCGAAACTAATGAATATTCAAAAAGCTCCTTACATGGTTGTTAGAACTTTAATTTATATGGGAAACAGACCCTAACCCAAACAATATTAGGTTTAGCAGGAAAGGGAAAACTACTGACTCTATTCAGTGTCAAGATTTGCCATCCTTTGCTTGAGTTCTTGCAGAAATGCAAATCGTCGTTAACACTATCTTTTGGAAAACAGTAACCTATGAATTGCACTTTCATTGGGAATGTGAATGTGAGCATTCCTTTGTGTATCTTCGGCATATATCTCACATGAACAGTGTCATCATTTGCTTGCCTAGGCTTCAACTTTACTTTAATTGCACAGATCTTTTTAACCTAAAACTATTTTTTTTTTCTCCAGGTGGATGGTTACCCTGTGTATAGCATGGCAACTCCAACAATTTCTGGTGCCAAAGAGATGTTGGCCTATTTAGGTGCCCAGCCCACTGCAGAAGGAAGCATCACTAAGAAAGTGATTTTAACAGATCTAAGAGAAGAAGCTGTTGTTTATATCAATGGCATACCATTTGTGCTTAGGGAACTAAATAAACCTGTTGATACACTCAAGCATGTGGGAATCACTGGTCCAGTGGTATGTCATCATTCCAGAACATCATTTATACTAAGAATACTGTACTACATAAGCCAAATTGGTGTACTGACTTCCTTTTCTTTGACCATTCACAGGTGGAACACATGGAGGCACGTCTGAAAGAAGATATAATATCTGAGGTCAAACAATCTGGTGGTCGAATGCTTCTACATCGCGAAGAATTCAGTCCAGCATCAAATCAGGCAAGTGTTATAGGATACTGGGAAAACATTTTCGTAGATGATTTAAAGACACCTGCGGAAGTATATGCTGCTCTGAAAGATGAAGGATACAGCATTGAATATAGGAGGATACCACTAACTAGAGAGAGAGATGCATTAGCTTCTGATGTTGATGCAATCCAATATTGTAGAGATGAGTAAGCATCAATTCCAAACTTTCATGTAATATGTATTTTATATTACTTTGTAGATTGAATAATGTTTTCTTGTAGCTGCATGTTTAAATAGTCCATAAACTGACCCAGGAATAAAGGTAGGAACCACCCAATGCTTAAATTCAGTCAGTGGACCACCTATGGATAATATTTTTTTGATAAGTATACCAATAAGATCATTGAAACAGCCAGATGCTAATACTTTATCTTCAGATTGGATGTTAAGAATTAAGATAATGAAATAATTGTGATTCTTTGGTGCTCCTGCCAATTGAGAAGCTGACTGTCCAACTGAAAGACCAGATCATTAAATTGGCAGACTAGAATTCAAGAGGCTGAATATTATTTGAGGCAATTAGGTGCATAACAATGCTGCCAATTTGTAAATAAAAAACGTAAATGAATTCGAAAGCTATCTGCATAAAAGTTTTTTAATGAAGTCTTTAATGCCTCTAATTTGTCTTTATCAGGAAACAATAATGAATACTTTTGTACGTGTTGTTTAATACTAAAGAATGCCAAAAATTAAATATTAGATACGATTTATGAATGAAATGCATATGCCTTAGTGGCTCTATTTAGATACTGGAATAGTTATTTTACTAATATTGTTATGCTTCCTGACCACCATCTTCAACCAGATGAGTGTGACTTGAGCTTGAAGGCACCAACTCCAAGGCATTGTAGAGCACAATGGCCTTGTTTTGGTCATCATCGTCTTCTTCATCACCTCTCTTGTCTTGGTGCCCTAGGATTCCTTGAATCTTCTGAGAGGTTGAACCTAGCGAAAACTTCTTGTTCTTCAACAGCGATAATACTATAAGTCGAGCTTTCAGGGCACTTGTTTTGTTTCTAATGGCCATCGATTTAGCTTTTGAGAGGGAGAATTGCGCCGAGATAAGTACGGCCGAGCTACACTAACGCAGGTTATCGCGACCGGACTGTTTGCTCGATCGGAGCAGCTCCACAGGCCGTAATGCAGGGCCAAGCTGGATCAGTCGACTGGAGCATGGGGTCATTCGTGTTCCTAACCGAGCTGTGAGTTCGTACGGGCGTTCAGCTGGGCATTCACGTTCCTGACTGGGACCGGGCCAAGCATAGCCCGGATTGAATTTAGACCAGGGCGAAGGCCGGTGCGCCTCACAGCCAATCAGTCCGGAAGGACCGACTTCTTACAGCTCGGCCGTATTGATCATAGCTGTGTTTCTTCAAGGGATAGCTCGGTCTTGATGTCCCGGTTAAGTGTGCCACCTGGGCCAATGGTGTGGTAGAGGGGAAACCCGCTCCAAGCACGCGTCAATACCGTTTGGTAGTTCTACACGTACTGTTTGGAGGTTTTGGCCTTTACACGCGTAAGATGGTGAGAGGCGAGCACTGCCACTTGTCCAGGGAAGGACATCAGAGGTAGTGCGCGCACAATCCCTGAGGCTGCATGGCCAGCCTAGAAAAAGAGAGGAAGGGGAACGTTGGAGGTATGCTATCAGAACAGCTCTCACTCTCTCTCTCTCTCTCTAACGATATTCTCCTTCTTCTTCAAGTGATCTGACTTGATCGTCAGAGGGTCTATCCGGCGACACACCGCCGGGCAGCTCACCATTTCTTTGTTTCCAGGTCAGACGTCGTTATGTGAAGCTTGAGTTCAAGGAGTACGGAAAGCAAAGGATATTTCATCCCCGTACAGCTTTAGTAATGGATCATAACACAAAGATGATGTGTTTCAAGAAAATAGAATCACTGGTGTTCTTCATTTTTCCTTACTTATCAAAAGACAAATGCCACAACTCTAAATGACCATTTTTACTTTTGAGTTGCCAAGGATCCAAATTTTCTTTCCTAACAGGAAACATAATCTTGGGGCATTTGCCAATAGTTTGAACTGGCAAGGGTATTTTCTTTTTTCCATTCAGAAGAAAAGGTGGAAGTTGGTTGTGGTTTGGCTTCTGGAATACAATTTTGGCATTATTAGCTTTACCAATCAAAAGAATTTGTGGATTGACAGGTTTCTTTTAATTTAGAACTCTAGGTTTTTGAAATTAGGTTTTTATTTTAATAATGATGTCGTTACACTAAAATAACTTCTGTCTACAGCTCTGCAGGGTCATATCTTTTTGTGTCACACACTGGATTTGGAGGGGTTGCTTATGCAATGGCCATTATTTGTGTAAGACTTGATGCAGATGCAAAATTAGCATCACAGACACCTCATTCACCGGTTTTGCTTCATCAAGCTTCTGATATAGAGGCACAGGAAATGGGAGATTACAGGGATATACTAAGCCTTACTAGAGTTCTTGTATGTGGTCCGAAGAGTAAAGCAGATGTTGACGTCATTATAGAAAGGTATGCAATCTCTTTAGCTGACTAGTGGAACTTCAAAGCTTCTCATATGAAGATGCTATTCCCTGCTTGCTCATAATATTACTACAAATTAAAGAATCGAGGTGAGAATCATAAATTAATAAGAAGATATGTCTGTTATTGGTTATCTTATTCTAGATAGTCATACAATCTATATATCACATAAAAATAAAAACAACAGTGAAAAGAAAATTTTAAAAAATGAAAGTAGGCAAAAGATTGTCTCATTAAATTGTATTTCATACATATTAAAACAAACTACTATCATTTTTTTTAAAATCTCTAATCATTATTATATCAGGGGTTACAAACTCTATCATTGTTATGTATCTCATCAGTCATAATTATACTCTGCCCTCTCTTTCTATCAAAACAAAAAGATAATAAGAAAATGTAAATATTCTCATAAAATTAATTGTTAAATAAGAAGAAAAAAAATTCTGTCATCATTGAAAAGAAAACCTCATCAATATATCTCCCTCAGTCAAATCTCTCTCTCTCTCTCTCTCTCTCTCTCTCTCTCTCTCTCTATTTTATGGATGATACCCATCATGTTCTCATTACCAAAAAGCCTAGAATGTGATATTTGCTAATTTGGTGGGTGATAGATTGTAGTCTGACATATTATAAGTTGATAAAGGGGTGCATGTTGCATGATGGATTGGATTGTCTCTTGGCATTGGCATTGGCATTGAATAACAATCAAGGTGTTTATAATGTTTGGCTGACACTGGAATTTTCTGGCCTGAAAGACTGCTGCATTCATGCTACTCTTGTGTCGGCATGTTATTTCATACTAGTTCCTAAGAAAAATAAATGAACCTACAGGTGTGCAGGTGCTGGGCATTTGCGAGATGATATCTTTTGTTACAGTAAGGAGCTTGAAAACTTTCTAGATGGTGATGATGAGTATCAAGCATACCTCATGGATATGGGTACTAAGGCATTAAGGTCAGTTCAAGTTTCCGAAAGTAATGAATAATGGAATCTAACAGCTCTAGCTCCGTGGGACATTGTTTTCCTCCTTCCTTTCTGATAGAAGAGGCCTTGATTCCATGGATGAAACAAATTTAATTAATTGATCTTTGCCAGCCCAGCATTTGCTCCTGATTTACTTCAGATTGATTTGATTACTCTAGATGCAGTTTTTGATATGTTGTTCAAGAGCATAATGTCTCATTTTTTATAATCTTTAATGAGAGCAGCGTCTTGTTTAAAATGGATTGAAAATATGCCCTCCCTACTATGTCTATTTTGCAGTAGGTGCTGAGTCTGCTTTTGACTTAAGTTGGTGGTCTCAATCTGTAATTGGCATGCATCTGATCTATTGAGTGTTTATGCATTCCTCTGTCCATTTAAACATGAAACTTTGACGTGCACTGCATGTATATGATATGTATAGTTGCTTTATGCATAATAGCTAATGGAATGGATTTATCAAATGCATTTATTTCAAAATTCGAAATCAAATTGATTTGAAATTCAAATTGCAGATACCTAGTCAATTTTACCTTACTAGCTTAGAAGTTTTTCCCTTTGCTTGTGCAACTATTTGTTGTTTCTTTTTTTTATCCTTCACAAAGCTCTGGGCATCAATACACAGTACCAATATGTCAAAACCGAGAAATGATATGCATTGTACGTAAGTCCATATCATGGGTTGACCATAAATTAAATTGAAGAAAAAATAAATGCATACCCAAGAACTAATTTCTTTGGGGGAAGCAGGGTAAGTGATGGTTTGTTTGACTGACTTTTTTGTTTTTTTTTTGGGGGGTCCATTTGCAGGCGGTACTTTTTCCTGATCACGTTTAGATCCTACCTCTACTGCACTTCTGCAACCGAGATGCAATTCTCATCCTGGATGGATGCAAGGCCTGAACTTGGCCATCTCTGTAATAACCTTAGGATTGTTAAATGATTTGAGACATAAATCAATGCCTTCCAAACTGATTTATGTACAGCTAGAAATCTCTCTCTCTCTCTCTCTCTCAATGTAGACGTAGATACCCCTACAGTATAAAACACATTGTAGGGGTGCTTGCCCTCACATGCTCAAGTACATGGATGCAGTCAAACAGATGCATGTGTTAAGTTCTTAATCATGATTGTGTATTATGTAATTATGTTACTACTTTCCTATAAAGCTAGCACCTTCACTTGTACTGAAGCCCTGCCATAATTTTTTATCCTTTTAATTGGTTCTTTTTGTCAAGAGGCTATTGTTTGGTGGAATGGTGACATTCAAATTGAAAAGGTGCTTCTATCTACACATCATTAATACTTTCAGTACATACCATTAATACCATTAATAGATTAAATTTATATTATAATAATATTTTTCAATGAAATGACCATTAAAGACAACTTGGGGTGTGTTTTATCCATTCAAAAATTTCATATTTGAAAGTAGAAAATACTCTTCACAAACCATCATCTCTATAGGGTTTGGAGTTTTAACATGTAAACATTGTATTTCATCATATTCACCATTAACATACACAAATGATTTCATTCATTATCAATTGGTTCACTTCTTTCTCGTCTCCATTATATTTATTTTTCAAACTCATTTTGAAGATTTAGGGTTTAAGAACATTAAATACAATTAGTTTTGAAGTTTTGCACACCATGGATGACACTGAGATGGTTGATTCTGATATAAACATTGAAAATATTGATTTTAACATTGAAAATGTTAGTTTATGACTTACATTTTTGGTTTTTTATTTGTCTCGTTCGTATGTTAAAAAGATGAGTTTGTTCATCATGTTCGGTTAATCAAAATTGAACATTTATACAATGTTTAATTATTTATATTTGAACAAAACGAATTGAAATTGTTCAACATATAAAGAATGAACTTATTTATTTTGTTCAACATAAATATTCTAAACATATTTACTTCATTCAATTTTATTATTTTATACATTAATATTATGTTCAAACAACTAAAGTTGAGCTAAACTAGAAGTATAAATTGCTATGGAAGTACAATGTGTAAATCAAATCTAATGTCTCTATTTTGAATAATTATTAGCCACAAGTTGAACACGATCACTTTACTCAAAGCAATTGTGAATATACGTGATGAAATTTGCATTTGTAAATGTTGAAACTTTTCTTTTTTTAGTTTATAGCAATTAAAAGTTTTTTCAACTACAAAAACATACCCTAAATCAAATCAAATCAAATCAAATCAGGCTTCCATTACTTTTCCATGTGTACAGAGCTTATTACCTTGAGAGCAAGAAAAGGATAGGTCTCTTGATATCGGAGGAAGTGGTGGGTGGTGGGTGAGATGCTGAGGACGGCGTAGTGGTTTTGCTAGCCGTTGTGTTGTGGGGAAGATGAATAATTTTGGGTGTGTGTAATGGTGTGTATTCAAATAGTTAGTGGTATATTAATATAGGGTTAGTAGAAAAATGACTTAGACCCTCAGTGGGGGTGCTGGGGGTCTTCCCTGATTGGCCAAAAAAATAGTTTTTTTTTTTTTTTTTTTTGGGTTTCAGCCAGTGGCAGGCTGCCACGTGGCATTGGGGGGTCTGAAGCACTGCTGAGGGTTAGTAATGGAAAGTTAATATATGAAGTAAGATATTTTTTAACCATGAAAATTATTTTATGTGTGTACTAAGTAATAGTGTGTACGGGAAGTATTAGTAGTATGTAAAAATTCTAATTATACCCTGTTGCACGTATTCAGATTAAAAATTCTAATTCTAACCTTTCTATAAATAAATATGTATATTCTTTTAAGTTTTTAATATGAAGTACCTTGGGTAGTTTGATAATTTTTTCATGCTTGATTTTACTTTATTTTGAATAAAAGTTTACCTAGATACAATTTCTTTCCGTTCTTTTTAATTTTGGGGTTGGCTTTTTATTTTATGTTGCCCCCTTTTTGAATAATTTTTTTTAAGGGTGAACTACGAATAGATCCTAATAATTAGATTATATTCCCATCAAATCCTATTGAAAATAAATCATAATAAAATTGTCGCTAAAAATAATTTTCTGTGACGATTTTTTGTGCATGTCGCTAAAAATTGACAATTAATGACTTTTTTTTGTCACAGTTGTTGTAAATTGTCGCTAAAACTTATAATTAGTGACTTATAATTAGTGACATTTTTTCTGTAACGAATTTTTCATACTATTGTTGAAAATTGAAAATTAGCAACATTTTCTTGTGATGATTTTTTTAAACTGTCGCTAAAACTTATAATTAGTGACTTTTTTTGTGTTAAAATTTTCAAACTATCACTAAAAATTAAAAATTAGTGACGTTTTTTAGTAGTGTTTGATAAAAAATGTCATCAATTATAATATGACTTATTGGACAATAAGTTCACTTATTAGAACCTTAGTAGGACCTAGACTCAAATCTTCTTTTTTTAATCGCATGTATAAGCATATCCATACATATTATCCATATATTGTATATGAACATATATATACATATATGCTTCATGAAAGATAAATGTTCTTTTATTTTATTTTCCATAGTCTACTCATTAAACTTTAAACTAATGTCAGATATATAATTTTTACTCCAAATATATTGGTAAGTTTTGTTTTGATGGTTAAATGAATTGTTTAGTTATATGTGGTTTGATACGTTATGGGGAAGAAATGGGAGAGATTCAATTTTTGTTTTAGTTGAGTCGAGGACTGTTTTTTGTTTAGTTATGTCATCCGGTCCCGAACATAAATTATTTGTTTAAAATTGTGTTACTGAACATAGATAATTATTGCGGCACTGTGTAACTTAACTCTCAATTCACTTTTTTCCTTTCAAATTCAATATAATAAACAAAATAACATATATCCATTCTAGTTCAGTTATTGATTTCTAGTTCAGGGTTTAGAATTGTGATGAAAAGGAATATGTTGAGTTTAGGATGGTGATAAAGAGGAATGTTGGATTTAAAGATGGTGATGAAGCGGGGCATTAATAAAGAGGAATACGTTGGGTTTATGTGGGTGAGAAATACGTTTAAGTGAGGGTGTATATGTACAATATTGTAGAGTTGTCTTTATTTAGTGGGTAAATGTTTCATTAAAGATTGTCCTGTAATATAATTTTACTTCAAGATATAATTGTAATAATAATAAAAAAGTGAGAATTGAGGGGTCTAAACAAATTAGGTAAGTGCTAATAGTAACCTTTTTTATTTACCTATAAATTTTTCTTTTAATTATTAATATCCCTAAAATACCCTTACCTTATCTCATTCAGCACATCAACCATAACACTATTGTCATGGCCCCTGCTGCTAGCAATTACCTCCAGGAAAATGGCCCAGACCCCCAGTGGGGTGACCCCACCACCCCACTATTTTCTGATTGGTGAAAAAGAAAAATTATTTTTTTTGAAGTCCTGCTATCACAGCCCCCCACGTGGAGGTGGGGGGTGCTCGGGTCGAGTCCGGATCCTCGGTAGCCTTCTCCTGCCGCCCTTCCTGCGGCGCCCCAAAACAACGTCGTTTTGGGGCAAGTTTTCAACCAAAAAAAAAAAAAAAAAGAAGAAGAAGAAGACAGATTCAGAAGGCAAGAACCAGAAGAGAAGCCAGAGAAAGAACGAAGCAGAGGCATTCAAACACCATTCAAAAATTCATACATTCCAAAAACCATTCAAAATTAACAACCAAATGATAAAACTGTAGGCCGCAACCACCACAAACACTGGGTGTTCAAAATTAACAATCAAATCTAAGATATATATATATATATATATACATAGAGAGAGAGAGAAAAAAAAATGGGACAAACCTGTAAGCCGCAACCACCACAAACCCGGGGCAACGTCGAGGGTTTCGCGATGAAAGGGCAGGGGATCTCATTGAGATCGATTTCGAAGGACCTGGGTCATTTCGATCCTCTTCTTCTACCCCTTCTCTTTCTTCTTCTTCGAAGTGGCCAGATTGCGGCTTCCCATTAGGCAGACGAAGCCATCGCCGGCGTCTCTCTTCTTCTTCCTCCTACTCCTATATTCCTCCTCCTCTCTTTCTCTACCTTCCTTCTCCATTCTTTCTTCTTCTCCCTCTCCCTCTGTGGGTTGTTCTGTTCTGCCTCTTTCTTTTTTTTTCTTTTTTTTTTGAAAACTTGCCCCAAAACGACGTCGTTTTGGGGCGCCGCAGGAAGGGCGGCAGGAGAAGGCTGCCGAGGATCCAGACTCGCTGGGGTCACTGTAACAACCCTCATACTGTTTACCGATTAATGACTGATTAGTTACCGATAAACGCTGTTTACCGTGAAACTGAATTGATCATGACTGATAATTGAACTGATTAAAAGTACTGAACTGACTGACCGAAATTGAAACTGAATGGAATGAATACTTCTGTTTGAATTGCATTTTATCTGTTGACTGTATGATTATCTGTTCATGTTTATATGTTTCAACTGCTAATTGAAGGCCTTATCGGCGGCCGAATTAGAAACCGATTAGTGTTTTATGATCCTCATGATTAATGTGATTTTATGGTGTATTTACCTGAAAACTGATTAGGTGTGATTAAATTAGATTAAGTTAAGCTAATTAAAGAGTTGGACTTAATTACCATTAGACCACTTAGTGGCCACTACCTCACACATGTTGAGCCTTGTATACACTTCAATCAAAACATTGCCTCAGCTCATTTCTTGTGCTTAACCGACCAAGAGGGGGAGAGGGAGAGAAATTGAGTTCTACCTTGTGAATTACTTGGAAATTGAAGAATTGTTGAAGGGTAGATTGCATATTTGAGCTCCCTTCTTGAACTACAAGACTAAAGGTAGCTCCATTGTCTTCTTGTTCATGTTTTAAGTTGATTCTTGCATGGTTCATGTCATATTGATGGAGTGTAGAGCCAAAACATGGTTTAGATGTTGAATTGTGGCTTAATTGTTGCATGCATGTACATATATTGAAGTTTTGAGGTTGTAGTCCATGTTTCCTCACATGCATGTCCATCTTTTGGTCATACTCCATGAGTTCATCTTGTTTTTGAAGGTTTGAGCTCTTTTGAAACAGCATTAAAGCTTTGAAAATGATTTAAGATCATGCATGTTTGCATGTTCTCCATGTTCTTGGAAAATGGTTTGAAATTGGATTTGAATTAAACACCCTTGGGCTTTGATTTCTCAAATTGAGCTTTGAACCATGTTATTCTATGTGTTTATAAATGTTTTCCAGAAAATGAGCCCAAG